GCACATGAGAGGCGGCGGCGTGCGAGGAGGCTCCGCAGCCGGGAGGCGGCCGTCAGAACCTGGGGGGCGTGGGAGATGCGGTGGCTGCCGCCGGGAGCCTTCCCTCCCTCCTGCCCTCCGCCTTCCCTCCTGCCCGGCCGGCGCACGTCCCCGCCTCTCGCTCCTTCGGTCACTTTTTGAGGGTTTTTACCTGCTTTCTTCTAATTTTCCTTTATTCCCCCCACCCCCCTTTCGGTGTCGTTTTCCAGGAGGAGGCGGGAAAATCGCTCTCTGCGTAGACCGGCGATCGCGGCAAGGGGGCCGGGTGTAACGGGGAGAGCGCAGCTTTACAGGAATCCAGCGCGGTTTTGGGTGGGGGGGTGTCTTGATTTTTGCATGAAGCGTGCATCACGCTGCGGAGTTGCTGACTGAAACAAAAGTGCTTGATTTTCATAATAAACAGTGATTTCGGGTCTGGAGCTTCTGCCGATAGAAAGAAGCGTAGTGTCAGTCTTTCAAGTCTAATAATGGCTTCCTGATCATGTTTGGTAAAATGATGGGAAATCTAGGCTTAATTCCATCGGGAGTGCTGAACTCCCTTTGGGGTGTATGGCTAAATGTCGTAGCTCAAGCACCTTCTCCAGCCCATCACTCTGGATGCTTGTATGGGTCTCGGCTGGCAGCTGTCCCTTGCCTTTGGGCACACAGCACTCTATCCTTTTCTGCTCAGGACAGCTTCTCGTTCACTTACTGCGTCGACTCTTTTTCCTGTATAGATTTGTCTGGGGTTTGCTTTTTTAAGACAGTGAAATGAACTTAATCAAACTTCTATGAATTTTGCGCCTTCTGCCTAGTAAGCTGTTGAGTATAGTATTAGAGAAACAGTGGTGACAAGGCTTTGCTGGTGTGGTATTGTTTTACTTGTCTGGTGGAGAGGATTCTTAAATTGGTAGGAGAGAATTGCCAAACGCCAGGGCCTGTTGCATGTGTTGTAGATGTTTTTGCAGTTCAGCTTGTCAGGTTGCTGTTTGTGAAAGTATGTTTTAGCATTTGGTATTCAAAAGCCGTCTGGACGTGGTCCTGGGCAGCCTACTCTAGGGGACCCTGCTTGAGCAGGGGATTGGACCAGGTGACTTCCAGAGATTATGGAAGGCCTTTCTCTTCGTTATAATGTGTGATTTTGGAATTTGTGCTGGGTGGGGCAGGCGGTGAGACGGCATACCGGTGTGGTATGCGCTGAAGGTGTCTTCAGGAAGGCAGTGTGTGTGTTCGGTGCTGAGACACTTAGCACCTACGTCTGTCCATGTACACCAAGCAACATAAAAAGCATATTTTCAGAACTGACTTTAGGAACTTTTCCTATCTTAGCCACATTAGACAGGGACTACAACTCTTGAATGAAAATGTAGTTGTGTTAAAGAACCGTAGGAGGTAGCTGTGTAAACTGGCTCTAGTGTCAGATTCTGATCTGTGGGTTTTGCTTGTTTTTTCACTTAAAGGAAAATCAAAGTGATGGTCTGCATCAGCTACAGGATCTTAGCTGTTGGGGGTTGTTGGGATAGAGAGCTGAAATTCTTTCTTCTTCTCACCTTCTGCTGTAGCTTTATGGTTGTGGAGCATCTGCACAAACTCTGCAGGAGAATCTGTAGGCTGCACTCCAGTGAAACAAGCCTGATTGTAGAATTCTGAGACAGACCGTCTCTGTTATGCTAGTGGCTTTTTAGACTAAAATTCAGAGTTTGGATTAAATGTAGGGTTTTTATCCAAAACATTGGGGGGAGGTTTTTGGCCTGAGTGGGAAAGACATGACCCAGTGGTACTCACTAAATCGCCTGCTAACTTGCTCACTACATCCTCTTTCTGCAGGAGTAAAATATGGCGAAGTGCAAATTCACTGAGCCTGACTACTAAGGTGCAGAAAGGATCTTTTCAATCTACTGCTTCGCCAATGCTTGTGAGTTGCTTCCTGTTTTTCTGGGGAAAATGTCAGGAAATTGAACCAGTCAATAATAATTCAGAAATTCTATAGTTGTCATCTTTACCTGTTGTTCAACAAAGTGGATGCTGTTTTCCCAGAAATAACTTAGTTTTTCTTCCATTTCTTCTTTGACTTTTTCCCATTCTTTGTCCCATTTCCTTAGAAAATGTTATCTGAATACTGTCACCCAATGTTGTCCATTCTCTGATCACCAAGTAATGCTTCCCTGAAACCCCTTTAGCTTCCACGTCTGGCTGAATGAAAATGATGCCTGCCAGTTGCAGCCATTCTCAGTGAGACAGTGAATCTCTTAAGTGCAAGAGGGAGTTAGAAGTTGACTATTTCTTGGGTGGTGTCCTTTCTAAAAGTGAAGAGTTTTTTTGGTTCTCCTTGCAGACTGAGTGTGTAGTTTCACACATGCGTGAGGTAGCATAACGGCTTACTGCCACAAAACAGAGATGGACAAATTCCCTCTTCTTCTGGCCAGTGCATTGTCTTGCCTCCTTGTGCCAACCTTTATGCTCGATAGTTCTCTCTGCAAGCTATCTTAGCCTGGTGGAAAACTATCTACTTCTGTGGGTTAGTTTCGTGCCTGCTTAGGGAGTTAACTTGGCTCATAGAGTGCTCTAAAATGTGTTCAAGTCAGTGCAAGGTAAGCCACAGGAATACAGGAGTAGAGCAAAGGAGCAGATGGAGAGATGGGAGGCAGTAACCAGGCCTCTCTTTTGGTGGCAGTGAAGTCAACATGTTTTGTGAAGGCATATTTTCAGCTGCAACTGACTGTATCTTTAGCTTTTTCTTCAGTAAACCCGTAACATTGTTGGCCTTTGAAACTGATTTTCATGTACTGTTGTCAGTCAGAACTGACATCCCAGAACTTGGACTTTGCTGTGCGTGATTCTGTGTGAACGTGTAATACCTCAATTTTATTTTTATTTATGTAGCTCTTAAATCCAAAAATCTATCATCAGTCTAGGACTTGTGGCATGTTCCTTTCTTTGGAAAAAGTTCATGTTTGGGAGTCATAAGTACCTAGGGTGAAGAAGAATGATAATTTTGCCAACTTTTACATGGTCCACTTTGGTATAGGATACAGCTGCAAGGTTGGATTCTGCTTTACTTCTGAACATGGAGTAAGCCTGTGGCCATTTACACTCATCTGATTTCTAACAGACAGAAATTGGGATCTGGTTGCAGTTGTTTTCAAAGAGAGCAGAAGCACAGTTAGTGTTGGGTATATCTCTTAAGGGGGAGGCTCTATGCCTTTTAACTATCTCCATCTGTTTTCCCACTGTTTTCATTTTCCAGTAAAACATCCTAATAACCAGACCACTATATATACTGTTCATAATTTATGATGGATTTTATCTTCCTAGTTCCATACTGCGAAGCCAGATATCTAGGAAAAAAAAGGGTTAAAATGCCCATTGGCTTACTAGCAGAAACCTAGGCATGCCTGATGCTCTGGCATTTTCACATGCTTTTTGATGCAGTTGCACAACTGAAGCATGATTAAATTTAAAGCTAGATGAGTGGTCCAGGTGTTGGAGCATTACCTATTTGATGGTTCTTACTTGTGGTATTGGACTGATAAGCACATTTGGTGTGTAGTGTAGATTGGACTACACTGTGTCAAGGTGTGAGCTTTCCACCAGAGAACTCTTTCCGATTTGGTGGAGAGTTTGGGGTGGTGAGTGTTTTGTTTTTCAACTCAAATCTCCCCAGTAGAGTATCTTAAAATCTGATTTCCAATTTGGTCACGCAAAATTCTGTGCTCTTGACCTGCCCAGGTAGGCAGCGGCAAAGGAAAGGTGACTCATGGAGAGCATGCAGTTGAGAAGTTTTCTTGAATGCTGTTACCTGCCCTACTGGAAGATACTTGTTCACTCTTTTTTCTTAAAATGATCTTGCTATTACTGTGAGACATCGTATTAATAATCAGGAAGTGCTTATCACACAGACTTGGTTTTCAGAGATTTATTTTTTTTCACTACAATCATATATGCTCTTTTTGGAATTTTGTGCTATTTTCTAAAATGCCTTAATATATATTGTCATAGTCAGTATTTTCTCTTGGGGGAGGATTGACCAACTGAGTATTTTAAAATAGGCTACTTTGGTGTGGGGTTTATTGTTCAATGTTTTCTTTCATTAATGATCTGGATGATGGGGCAGAGTGGTATGTTCAGCAAGCTGGCTGATGATATGAAACTGGGAAGAGAGGTGATAAAACTAGTGGGTCATGCTGCCTTCCATAAGGACCTCAAGAGGCTGGAGAAATGGGCTGCTGGGAACCTCATGCAGTTCAGCAAGGGGAAGTGTGAAGTCCTGCTCCTGGGGAGGAACATCCCCGTGCACTGGTGTGTGTTGGGGGCTGCCCAGCTGGAAAGCAGCTTGGCAAAAAAGACCCCGAGCATCCTGGTGGACACCAAGTTGAGCGCGAGCCAACAGGGTGCCCTTGTGTCAAAGAAGGCTGGAGGTGTCCTGGGCTGCATGAGGAGGAGCTTTGCCGGTGGGTGGAGGGAGGTGATCCTTCCTCTGCTCAGCACTGGTGAGGCCACACCTAGAGTGCTGGGTCCAGGCCTGGGCTCCCCAGTGTCACAAGACAGATGGAGGTACTGGAGAGAGTGCAGTGAAGTGCCACAGAGATGGTTAGAGGGGGTCAGAGCACCTCTTCTACGAGGAAAGGCTGGGAGAGCTGGGGCTGTTCATCCTGGAGAAGAGAAGGCTCAGGGGGATCTCATCAATACATGTAATACCTGAAGGGATGGGGTAAAGAAGATGGAGCCAGGCACTTTCCAGTGGTGCCCACTGACAGGACCAGAGGCAATTGGGCACACACTGAAGCATTTTAAAGATGCTATTCAGCAACCCAGTATATCTGTCTTAGTATTTGGTATTACGGGTTACTCCTAGGACATATGAATTAAATCATTACAGTTAAGCTAAGCCAGAATGCTGATAAAATTGTGGGGCATTTTACTCTCTGGAGCCCCAGGATGCACTGCAAAAGTTTGTCCCACTGTTGCTTTGAAATGGTAACAAGTACCAAAACACAAACGCAGCAAAACTGTTGCAAATAAGTTGTCCCACTTGGAACTTGATCTGTGCTAGTTGTGAATGCTGGCAAAGTGGTCAGGCTGGCTGCCTGTAGCAGCGTCCTGCAATACTGGCTTTGTCATTGGCAAAATTTTTTTCAACATGTTGACTTATGCTTAGTGCAAGCCCCTGACTTAAGCTTTCTGTGTTTCCCATGTTTCATGTTGGCAGAAGATATTGGAACATATTCTCAAAGAGTGCTTGTGGCTGGAAATATAGTAGATTCCAGTGCCCAGGCTTTAGAGCATAATTTTTCTCCACAGAAGTACAATTCATGTAAATTGTGTTTATATATAAACATTGCCCTTTATGACTTTGTGTTGCTGTCAGAGTTTAGTCTTCAAAACTAGCTGTAACCTCCTGTGCTGTAAGGAAGGTAGGTTATTAGTGCACACTGGAAGAAACAATCATAAAACTTTATTTGCAGGAGAACCTGTATGGTACAGTTAATGCATCAGGCTTTTGTGTGCACATTTAAGGGGCTGGCTGTACTGACTTGTAGCACAGGGTGGGGGTTCTGTTTGATGCCTGAGGTGGTCAGCTTGTGGAACACCCAGGAACAGTCAACTGCGTGTACTGTCTTCCTTTTGAGACTTCATGAAGAAATCAGTGCTGTTTGAAAAAGATAATTAAATCTGTCTTGTCTTCTGCCAGCTTTTTCAATAACCCAGAGAACTTGTAAGACATGGTAATTTGGAGTAGTTTGTATTTCTATGTGTATGGAATATCTCTTCTTTAACCACCTATTTAATCTTCTAACTCACTTCGGCTTTTAAGTTTTCCCACCAAAAAGTCTGTCTTGACATACTGAAAGGTGGATGCTTTGTGGAGCACCTGTAGAAGTGTGGAAACTGTCTGAAAGGCCTAGAAATTTTTTTAAAATATTGCTGAGATGTGATAAGGACAGGCAATAGGAAGGAAGGGGCTGGGTTAAGGAATATGAGTATTTAAGTATAGGAAAAAAATCAGTGTCTTCAGGTGCTGTGTTGCTTCCATCATAATTTTATGGAAAACTGCTTTCTACTTGATGAGCTATGAAAGCCTGTATTGCTTGTAATGTGAAAATATCAACAGTATGTTTTCTGGAAGACTTTGAGAATGAAGGTGGCTAAGAATTTAGGATTCCTTAATGTTCGTAATGAACATGCAAAAGGTGAACAAGACAAGATGTGTGAAATCTACTGAAGACAACTGACAAAAAATAGCAAATTATCAAATCAAGGGAAAGGACAAATGAAACTTACGCCTTTTACTGAGAAGCTTTTTAAAATACGATTTTTCTCAGATCCCGTCTTAGTAACCTATGTGAGTAGACGTGAACTCAGTGTATTTTTTCTTTTCCCTGTTATTTGTCATGTCAATGCAAGACAAATAACAGGAAAAATGTCTTGTCAATCTGTGTCACTTTTTGTTTGTGATCTCATAGGCATCAGGAAAGTAAAAGGATTCTCTTTGCTCTGCTGCAAGATCGAAAACTGTCCTGAGTGCCACTTTTTTTAAGGAAAAGAGTTACAGGAGATATATAGGAGATTATTCACTGCATCCTGATGAAACTTGTGTCAATCTCAAAAATATTTATGGCTGACATGAGTCTATTTTTGCATTTTTTTTTCTTTATTTACAGTGAAGAATGCGAGACCTAACAGCTCAGGTAACGAGCAGTCTGCTGCAGTTTCCAGAGGTGACTGTTCAGGCACTTGGGGAAGATGAGACATCCCTGGATTCTGTGCTCAGTGGGAAGTTTTCTGGAGGTGAGCATTTTCCATTAAATTTGGTCTTGGTGTAAAGTTGTTATTGTTTAGAGGTTAACTGAAGCATAGAGTCATAGTATCAGCTGTGTCAGGTTGGTGCTGTTAAGATGCATCAGATTTTGCAAGAACAAAAAGGATATTCTAGTGATTAAAAATGTTAATATTAAAACGTTAGTGTAGTTGACATTTGAAATGGCAACAACCAGCACCAATCTTGTACTATTAAAATAATTTACTTAAACATGCTGAGTCAGTGAGCCCTCCTCAATTTCTGATTAATTAAGAGGCAGTTTTCAAAGAAGTAATGGCGTTGCTTTGGGCAGTATTTACTTATAGCAGATCAAGCTCTATGACCATCATAATGTCACACACAGAACTGTTATGGAGGCAAAACCCTCTGCTTTTTCTGTAGCCTGAATAAAAACAGGAGGAGGAGGAGGCTAACACTGTTAAGCACTACAGCTATATTTCCGAAGTATTTAATAGGATGCAGATGAGTACCCAGTGAGAGCTGCTGAAAGAGGCTAAGCAGATTAGGTCGCTGATTTTCTAGGTGATCTGAGTAGAGCTGGGTGCCTTTTTGGATGTCTAGTTTCTGTTAAGACCAGGTAGAATCTGTCTCCCTGACTGTAAGTGCAGTAGTTGGGTTGCTGCTTCCTTTGAGTTTGAAGTAGTTCAATGAAACAACATGTGTTAAATTCTTTCTGTGCTCAGCACCTGTAAAAGTTTAAATTTACTCATGCAGTGCCCACTTTAAGATAATTTTTTAAAGTCAAATCCCTGCCCAAATTAGACATGTGTCAAGTGAAATGAATAAACTAGCAATGAATTGGCTTAGATTTGTTCTATTTGAAGTATGCTTTAAGACTTATATTCCTGTATGTATTTAGATGATTTCTAGCAAAACCAAGCTGAATATGGTATAAAAGCTGTAGATCAATATAATGTAATCTTTATCCCAAACAATCAGAGTTTTTCAGTGCAGGAATGAAAAGTACAAATGCAGAATAATACGGTTGTTAATTTTAAGATGCATTGCATGAGGATTTCAGTGTGTGATTTTCGATACTTGACCAGAACTAGGTATGTTGGTCTTCCTCTGTTAGGTACTTTTATTGAAGGAAGGGGGCAGTGACAGTGATTTTTCAGTTGTTCCCAATCTTCTGTTGGAAATTTGCTTTAGTCAGCTTTCTTTTCTCTTACAGGGAGAAATGGCCTAGCATGGTTGGCGTGTGGTCCTCAACTTGAGGTGGTGAGCTCTGTGACAGGAGAGCGGCTCTCTGCATACCGTTTCAGTGGAGTAAATGAACAGCCTCCCACTGTTCGTGTGGTAAAGGAGTTTTCCTGGCAGAAGAGAACTGGACTGCTGGTTGGGTTGGAAGAAGCAGAGGGAAGCGTTCTCTGTCTGTACGACCTTGGAATATCAAGAGTGGTTAAAGCAGTTGTTCTTCCAGGAAGGGTACGTACTTTTTAATTGGAGAAACAAAGCTTTCATGTTGGTTAGGTGCTGCATAATCCTGTTTCAGGAAAAGCTTTGGAGCACCTCTTTGTAGGAGGTATTTTTTCTGCACTGCATTAGCATTCTGTCACTTTAGAGTATACAGTCAGGAGAGCCTTGATGGAAAATCTTGGGCTTAATGGTACCATTATCTTTTGAGTTTACTGATAGTAAAACAATTTTCTGTTTTTACTGTAGAGCACATAGTTACCTAATTCTCCACTTAAACAAAAAGGCATTGGAAATTAACTTTTTTTGTGTGAGTGAAAAGGAAAAAAAACCCACCCCTTTTTAAAGTCTCTGGAACATACATTTCCTAAATGGTTTATTTCTGTTAGAAATGCTGTCTTTAAAATATCTCAAACGTCCATAGTTGTGCTGTAAATGACCTAGGCCCATTCCCATGAATGTCAGACTAGCAAGCAGATGACTTTAGAGCAGAACAGCTTGTTATGTTGTCTTAGGATATGACAGAAGAGCTTTTAGTGAGTTATCTGATGGATTATTGAGAGCTTGACTTTTCATCTGCAGTCATTGATTCTCTGCTTATGGAATATTGTGTTTATGTGAATTGGTATAATGTTACTAATTTTTCTGTCTTCTATAACCCATAAACTCAAATGATGTGATGCCTCAGTATCATCTTAATGTGAACAAGAAACAGCGTAAGCTGATAGAACATCAAGACACACTATATTTTTATCATCTTAGAATCTGCAACAAATAAATATGTATTTATTACTCAGCTCTCCATAATGTGATTTGGTTTGACTTGCTCGAATACAAGTGACATTTTCTTTGTAATGCCACAGTGTGTTTACTAGTAGTAAGCATTTGTATTGTGGTAGTTTCTAAAAACAGGAGTTGGGTTGGTACTCCACTGTTAGTTTTGCCTATCATGAGAAATCCTAGAGTTTAGATGGAAAGGCAAGCCGTATGCTGACATAACTTACTTATTGATTATACACTTATGTTTGTGGAAAATGGCACAGCTTTGCTAAGTTTTAGTTCTTAAATATAAGTAAGCTGGGAACAGGAAAAGGAAAGGTTAAGAATGACCATGTCACCTATGGAATCTGTGTCTACAGAAGTGATTTGAAATCAAACATAGTTCTTGGTTGTATTAGGGAGTTTTTCTATACCATAAAACAGCGGTTCAGGAGAAAATATGAAGAAGCCTTGGGGGGAAAATTTGGCTGTTGTGTGATGAAGGTTGTGAATTTTGGAATGAAGCCAAAGCTTATCTGAGTGTTTGCTCTTATGCCCTGAATGCTCTGGATTACAAGCACATTGGGTCTATTGCTTTCATTTTGCTTCCTATCTCTTTGCTACTGGATGAGTTGGTTCCACATAGACAGGACACAGGTATTGCTGGTTGGACTGTTAACTTTGAAGTTGTGAGTGGGATTAAGGGGAAACAAAAACAAGTAGATAAAACCTGCATTTGGCCACTGTCTGTAGATTTTGAATTTATTTTGTAACTTGTACTTCCAAATTATACATTATGTAATATGTGTTTTTAATCTGCCTGAATGTTTCTCTGATTTTCACACTGATTATTTTTAAAAGTAAAATGCAGATCTATTCTTAACATCATTTTCCACAGTTTTTGTCATTCCTGTTTTAAGGCTTTAATGAGCACCTGAATTTTTGGACTGTTTTTCACGTGGCTGTATCTCCTGTGGACAACTAAATTGTAGAGGTTAACACTAACTTAGAGTAAGTCTGGTCCATAGTGTGAAGCCATTAGTGTATTAATACAGGGTATTTATAGTGACTGTATGCCTGCCTTTTTAGTGTGAGAGTAGATGTGTAATCATTCATTGAGTAAAGAAATGAGTTAAAAAAACCAAACTCACAGGCTTAGAAAGAATTTTGGCATAATTTTTTTAGTGTGTGGGAGCATCTCTCACTGTCCTCTGGATATACACGTGAAACGCAGCAGAAAACTCAAAGTGTTAATGGAGTATTATTTGAATGGGATTCTTGTAAAAGCAAATCTGAATTTAAAATATTAATTATATTAAATTGGCTTATAATGGTCGTCTGCTTCAGAACTATTGAACGGTATTTTCACAAATTTTCCTGGTTTGTAGTAGGCAGAAGGGTAGCATTCAGATTCAGTGAGCTGAGAAAAGTTTCCTTTGTTCATTCCCAGAATGAGTTGGCAGTAGTCTAAGGGAATATGAAAAGCCAGTGCATAGCGTAGTGGAAAAATAGGCAGTTTCAGGAGCTTCTACATGGAAAATTGAAGTGTTAAAACCGGGAAACCTTTTTTAGAAGACTGTATATCCAAAAGTGGAAAGGATTCATGTGGAGCCAGTTGTACAATGAAATAAATCTTAAAAAGGAAAAGCACTTAGAAGCAACACTTGAACTTTGGTTAATTCTGCAGCAAGATGTGTGCAGTATTTCTGCTTTCCTTGTAGCAGTCATCAAGACTTGGAGCAACAAGAATTCAAATAATCAAGACACTTTCCATAGTCCTTCAAGTAGCCAAGAAGATTGGACATTTAATTTGATTTAGAGGAAATCGGAAACAAAATGAGTGGTTTAAATGACTGTAGGTACTTATGAGATAAGAATTCTTGTGACCAACGTGAAAGGTAAATTGTGTAGTAGGTTGCCAGGCAGTGTAGTTGTAGCAGGTGCTTGAAACGGGAGAGGAGAAAACTTTGGGGCTTAGGGGTTTGGTTATTTTTCCCCACTTAGGGGGTCAAAAACTATGTCTCGAAAATTAGACTCCCTTGTGATGCTCACATTTTGTTTTATTTTCATGTAAAACTTTGTTGTTGCTGTAAAGCTTCCTGTTTTCATTGTGTTGCATTTTGTAAGAAGGCTAAATAATAGCCTCTCTTCTTCTGTTGTATAGCTGTAGTGCAGGAGTCTTCGTGTGCTTGTACCTCTGCTATAGCAGTCAGTGTTGTCCTGGGATGTGTTGCAGGTGCTGAAAGGTCTGTCTTCACCTTGCAATAAAGTTGCATGCGGACTGCTTCGCATGTTAAGGAGCAGTGTGCGCTTCTTCCTTAGTTGGAGTTAGCTTTTTATCTAACAAGCTGCTGTTCTTTTGCCGTTGTTTTCAGCTGGCTTTCCAGATTTTTGTTAACATTGCTGGTGTGCATGTAAAACTTTTTTTACTTTCTAAATGAGAACTAGAGTAAATTTTACTAAGTCAGTATATCCCTTCAACACTTTCTAAACACATTTCATTCCTGTGGAAATGTGTCTACCATGCAACTTGACTGCTGCCATGTGTGGCTTGCAGCCATGATTTATTGTAATACCTGTTTGCCAGAGAAGACATAGACTGTATCCCAGTGCTTATGGGCTGTGAGCAGTGGGAGAGCTAGATTGAGTTTTGTCTCTTTTCCTTAGGTCCTTTAAATATGATGAAGTTTCTTGCCTATACCTGATTTGATGTTTTCTTAATTATTTCCAAGTAGGAAAGGAAAATTGGTAAGCTGTAATAATAGAATGTACCATTTAAGCTGAAGTTAATTCAGTTACATAACTGTGGGAGACCCAGTGAATGGAAAGCAGCAAGAAATTTTTGTACAGGGTGTTTTTCTTTTCTTTTTTCTTCATACAATTGGTAACAATGCTTTGTTTTTAAGTCTTACGATTCTGTATTTACTTTCCTGTTTCTGATGTCCTACTTCTGGCTTCACTTTTGAATGACTTCTGTTTAGCTTATCAAACAGCTTAAATATTAACTTGTAGTTTTCCTGTAGGTAACTGCTATCGAACCTATAACTAATCACGGAGGAGCCAGTGTGAGTACTCGGCACCTACATCAGAGTCTGCGATGGCTCTTTGGAGTGGCAGCAGTGGCTACAGATGTTGGTCACCTACTTCTGGTTGACCTTTGTTTGGATGATCTATCTTGCAGTCAGAATGAAGTAGAAGCATCAGGTAAGCTTGCAGTTTTTAAACTTGAATTTGAAAGGAAGAAGCCTTGTGTCTTTTAAATAAGCACTGTTCATTCCACTTTGAAGATACTAATGTGCAGACGTTGATGACTGCTGATTACAGGTGGTGGTTTGAAATCATATACTCCTGAACTCATTAAAATGGGAGTGGTTTAATACTCCTGCTAATGTTACAATGCCTTCTCCCCACCACAATCCCTGTGTCCCTGTGGTTCTTACCAGTGAGGTGTAGGAGTTTTACCATCTGAGTCAGTGCAGCTGCCTGACAGGAAGTTGTGTCGGCGGTGTTCTATTTCTTGGGAATGTTCTTCTGCTTCTCTTAATTGATTTGAGGCAGATTTTAGGCTTGTTTTTTGAAATAAATCCTGACTTAACAAAATCATGCATTTGGATGAATGATATATCAATTTATGTATTCAGATGGTATATGCTGTTCCAGCTATTACAACAGTGGCTTCAGGAGTTGATGGCACTTCAGATAGCCTCATGATGAACTCCTGATTTAGAGAGTCCAAGCAGAATTTGTCTCTGAAGGTTACAGTTCTTCCTGGTTTTGAAATACGAGGGAGAATACCTGTCCCATCAGAGAGTTCTTAATGTTCTTTGAATACATGCAAAGTGGAAATAGCAAAACAAGTGTTGCATAAATGGGTATTTTGCCTGGGATGGTAGAATTGGATTATATGTGTTCTCATGTCAGTGTTGAAAATGCAACCTAAATAATGTAACACATTAATTCCTTGCATTGTTTTTTTTTTGTGTGTGTAGATCTAGAAGTTGTCACTAGAATTCCTGCTGAAGTTCCACAAAGAAGAGAAGCTGTGACCAGAGAAGGGAGGCATCTCTGTTTTCAATTACAAAATCCTTCTGGAACAGCAATATCAACCCTGTGCTTCATAAGCAGAAGCAATCAGCTCGCTGTGGGTTTTTCAGATGGCTACCTGTCACTATGGAACATGAAAAATTTGAAGAGGGAGTAAGTAGGCCTTTACACTTGGCCATGCCTGGAGGTTCAGGGGTCTCAATTTTTTGCTGAAAGAAGTATGTTAGTTTGAAGAGAACTGTTTCAGGGACTGAAATGTTGAGTATAATCTTGACGTGTTTAGAAATCCTCTTCTGACAGAACTATTAAGTCATACATGGATTAAGTGGACTTCCTTCTCCCCAGTGGACTGGGATTTTTTTTCTCATTGTGCCTGTGGAAATTGAGGAATTGAGCAATTATATCAAGCACTTAGGATGTGATAGAGCTGATTTTTATAAGACAGTTTCTTCTATCGGTGATATTCAGTGAAAATTTGCACAAACAGGTTTTAGGAATGATTTTTCAGAACCAGTTACTGCAATGAGGGCATACACATTGAAAGGCTTAAGTATGTTAGTAGCGTGATTTTGGTGACAATATTTGTAAAGTGTCCCAAGATGATACTAGAGAGACATGAAGAATCAGTAGCTGATCTGTGCCTGAATATATATTCTTTCCTATGTTTCAGCCTTGACTGAAATAGGGAAGTGACCCATTCCAAGACAACAATGCATGTGAATGAAAGTTTGCATGAAACTCTTTGAAATAAGGGACATGTAAATTTGGAAGGAGTAGAAAAATTAAGAGATTATTTTAAATCTGCCAAACAGCAATCTCACTTTAAATATTTGACCAAATTCAGATAGGGATTCACTTCAGCAAATCTACAGTGACTTGCCAGAAACTGTTGAATGCCTAAATAGACAGGAGGAATAATTAGGTGGCCGGAATGGATTGTAGGTACAAATAAGGATTGTAGGTACAGATGGATTGAAGGTACAAATAAGGTTCAGAAGTCTGGAAGAAAAATGCTTTACATAATCCAAGAAGTGAGAAACTACTTCTGTTTGGTGCTGGATTGTATGTGTTCAGAAGATAAGCTGCATTTGAAGTTCAGTATTGAAGTAGGCTACAGCAGTTAGAAAAATCAGCTGGCAGCTGAAGTAATCATTTATGTTCCTCCTCCTCAGACAGAGGAGGACATGAGCCCAGGTTATTCCATTTGATGGACAGTAATTTCCTCATCTCTTGACTGTTGCGTAAAAAGTAGTCACTTCCTTGACTCACTTGTTTGAGATGGAAGTATGTACTTTGAGGATAAACACATACAGTGCTCTTCTCAGAAGATGCTTCTGCCCTTCTACAAACCAGGCCACTAGGCTCACTTTTTTTTTTTTTTTTTAAACTTGTAGGCACCACTCTCAGCTTGAAGGAGGAAGGATTCCTGTCTATGCTGTTACTTTTCAAGAGCCTGAGAATGATCCTCGCAATTGTTGCTACTTGTGGGCTGTTCAGTCTACACAAGAAAGGTGAATAAAAACTTAAAATATGGCACTTTAAAAAAAAAAATGTTTGTTGGCATACAGTTGATACATATATGTTTGTTTAGTTTATTTAGCTGTGCAAAAGATTGGCTCAGTTATGGAAAGTGTTAATCTTACAATGCAATTTTTACAAGATTTAACAGACGTGAAGAGGGACCTACTAGCTCCTACCTGCCTCCTGAAAGAAGGCAAAGCAACAGTGGCTGTATTTTTGTGCTTGCATTCTTAAATGATTTTCTTAATTTCTTGATGACTGACTGCTTCATGATTTGTTTGATATTCGCACCATGGTATTAAAATACTGTTGAAAGTAGTTGAAGCTGCAGATCTGGAACACCAAATGTGCCGATACAACAGCCTGCTGCCTCAGAAGGAGGGAGGTGACAGCTTTGCGATTACCTTGTGCCAGCTTCAGCAGTCTCTGGAGCCTTCATGAGCCAGTTCAGCTCACCTAGCAGAAAATGATCCCTGTTCAGCAAAGAAGTCAGTAGTTTCCTGCTGGGCTAATGAATCAAATCAGACTGTGGAAAGGGGCAGTGTATGCAAGAGAGGGACAGGACCTTTGGTGGCGAGGGAAGGGGAGGTGGATTTTTCTGTTTTAGCATCAGCAAGCTACTGAATCAGCTCAGCTGTTCATAGAGTGGCAATCTTTTAAGTTTGACTTTGAAGCTGTTTTGGCTGAGAACCCTTCACTGTGAAGGACTATTTCCTACAATTTTTAGTCTATACAACCTATTAAAGCTTTCAGATTGCATGGTTAGCATTTGCCCCTGAAGCTGTTAGCATCAACATTTCCTCCTTTGTGTTTTAGCAGCTAAATGTGACGAGTTACCATGTTTCGGAAAGTGGTGTTTTACTTTTCAGCAATAGCATGCTATAAGAAAACTTCAGCCTAGATCTAATGAAATGATAATGAGGACTATAAAGCAGCTTTGTAATCAAATTTCCTAATTTATATCTTTTTCAGTGAAGGTGATGTTGTGAGTTTACATCTGCTGCAGTTAGCATTTGGTGACAGAAAACGCTTGACATCAGGACAGGTCATGTATGAGGTAAGGTGTGCATGTATGTGGAAAGATGAAAATAGTTTTTTTTTTTTCTACGTATCAGTTAAGTTGGCTGGGTTGATATTTACCATCAAAATTCAGAGCTGACTAAAAATAAAAATCTTTTGCTGAGTTTTCTTGCAAAGGCGTTGCCTTTGTCCATAGGTTTGAAAACAAGTCATACAATTTTATACTGCAGTGTTGTGTGTTCCAGCTAGATTAATCTGCAGCATACAATTGAATATAAATTCAATTCCTGAAGAGGAAGCAGCTTTTTAAAATAAATTATTCTTAATTGAAACACCAAATTAATTGCATATAGGAAGGTAGGGCTTTGCATAGCTTTGTTTAACCAATCTGCAAACTTGTATAAGCGTCTATCTGTCTCCCTTTCTTAAAATACAGCCATAGAGCTTTATTCTCTTCTGATGTTCAGTATTCTATTCTTGTTTTTCTTTCGCACACTGTCAGCCGGACTTCAAATTAAGTGTATGTGCAGTGTCTCTTAAGTGTTGATCCTGAAACTTAGCAGCTGTAAAGATAACTCACTCCTTGGCTGGGTTACCTATGAAATCTACTTTTAAAGCCAGACAAATACTTAAATACAGAAAACAGTGGTGTGATGTGGTCAGAAGAGTGTACGTAAATTTTTAGAACTTGCTCCAAAGATGAAGTGTTTAAAATATGGATGAGGTATCATTAGATCTCAGATATCTAACAGATAGAAGATGCATCTGTATGCTGTATATTTTGATTCATCAGTATGCTTGGAACTCTTTCACAAAAGTAATCTTAATACAGAACAATTCTTTCCTCCTATTTTGGTACTTTCTCTTGCATATTCTCGATACTTACAGAACGACATAGGGGTGATTTTTGTATTGCGGTACTTACTCTGTTTTTATAGGAACTGTACGCTTTGAATTTTTTGACCGAGTTTAATTTTTGACCTTTTTCCTTATGTATAGGAAAGCTCCTTATTTGTAAGTGTTACTTTTGAATAGAAAAAGACAAAGTGTTTGGAAAAGGTTGTGTTTCTTTAAAATGCATTATCTCTCATAGTGACAAAGTAGAAATATCTTTAAGGGATTCAGCGTGTTCTAAATATGGATGTCATCTCTTTATGTGTAGTTTTTTTATGACTGCACTAGAGGAACAGAGCACCCTAAGTGCATTGAAATGTTTCATCAGCCTTTAAGAATGAGTCTACTAGAAACCGCGATTGGCGCTTTTTTGAAAAAGCACACAAAGTGATTAAATGACGTTGTGTTTGTGACCTGAGAAAGCTGTGGTATAGTAAATGTAAGACTTTTGACCCTCTACAGACTATGCAGCCAGTAGTATGTTCCCAGGCTTGTAAGGGGTGTCAGGCACCAGTCTCTGGATTTGAGATGTTTTGCTCCCCTGCTGTTTTGGCTTCCCTGTGATGAGTGTTGTGGAAGATTGAAACAGGACCCAATCTTAAAAGGTAGTTGAAGAGAGAACTAAAAAGCTGGATCCTCTGGGGAGAAAAGTCAGATTCTTCAGCTAGCTTCCAGATGAGCCACTTACACGTGTAGCTTTGTACCAAGACCTGATGACACCTACTGCCAAAAAACTGCCCAAAACATATCCCCTGACCCCAAAGATGCATTAGGACAGGATCTGTGCTCTACAGGGGACACTTTTTAGTCTCGGAACACTTCCTTATAGTCACAGTTTGGACAGTGCTACATGGCTGTCTGCCTACATGACTGGCAGAGTCAAGTTTCTTGTCCCTCTTCTGTGGCAGAAAATGTAAGAGTTCTCAATTGCCAGGCCCAATTTGAGTAAACAAGGAGGAATCTAGAGTTGACCCTTGTTCATTGACCAGAGTTCATAGGAGCTTGAAAGATTTGTCCACTACAGCAGTGCTTTACGTTCCAGGAATCAGACTTGAGGCTATGGAATGGCACATCTTTGACTTTGTATTGTGGTAAATAAAATAGTCACAAATAGGACTAATGGAACATGTGGCACTGTCTTTTTGTAAATGAGCATCAAACTTGTGTCTCTTCTGCCTTCAAGGCTGGTTTAAGTCTGTGGTCATGTAATTAATCTAGTGGTATGTTGAAGTTATGCTATCAAAGATCTTTTTTATACCATCTCAGCAGTTGCTAAGACTAGTGCATCCAGTCATGGTCATGAAGCACAACCTTGCCTTTGTCCTACACAATGCTTGCGGATGGACAGAGTATACAGCCTCTACTTGCATATCAGGGTCTGACCAGTGCATCTTGTTGCAAAACTGTCTTCGCGTTTTAGTGGTCAATAAAGTAATTACTTAACATCTTCTGTACACTGGAGTTCCTTAACATGGATTTGCTTTCCCCAGTGTGGAAAATCTAAACTGTAGTGCTTTACTTCAGAAGTTGTCTTAGGCAGGAATTGTTTGATACTATTTTCCCTTTCCCCCCTACCCCAGCTTTGAGGGAGAATAATGGCTCTTTATATGTGAATAAGAGGAAATTTCTAGCCATTAACATTAATCTCTGATGGGTTTATGGAGTTTTAGTACTTGATCTGATGAAACTGTCTTTTGGAATGGTGGCCTTTCATTCAGGACAACATCTTTTACTATCAATTTCAGTGTTTATTCCTTCTATAATAAAAATGAGATTCTTTTCTTATGCTTCATTCTAGTTTTTCGAAGAGATTGTTTCAGTTTTTCTTCTCTATTCTGCACATATCTGTTATTTCCAAAGTTACTTGATACAATAGAGTGAATTGTGCATGCTTCAGAGCAAACTTTACCTAGGGAAATACTAAATTTTGGCCTTTACAACTAAACTAACCCCTTTATGGTTTGACAGTTGATTCACTTGCATGCCAAATGTAGTTTCTAATTGCCCTCAGAAATAAGCTCATAGGAAATGCACAATATAATATGCATATTATATTAGAGATAGACATTCTCTTGTATTTAGGTATAATGTATGTTTTTATCTCAAAATTGATTTTCCCTCTTCTTTTATTTTTTCCCCAGGGTTTGGAATACTGTGACGAAAGGTACAGTTTAGATCTCACGGGTGGAGTCTTTCCCTTGAGAGGACAGACCAGCAATACCAAATTACTCAGCTGTCAGACCATAGAAAAATTTCGCAACCATGTTGACAGAGAGGATAGTGTTAATGAAGGTTTGTTCTAATGTCCATGTTTGGTTATTAAAAAAAAAAAAAAAGTTTTGCAAGCTAAGCAATGAAGCCTTTAGGCCTACTTAAAAAGAAAAATTGTATGCTTAATTTATGTGGGACTCTTTAAAGGAAAAGATTAGGTTTTATTTTATGCTTGTTGACTTGCTATAGCAGTGTATGGTAGGGTCATCTGTATAATGTTTGTCAGTCATTTTATTCCTCCAGCTGTCGTCTTGGAATGATAAGATCATTCTCTCCTTTACTTAGGAATGTGACCTGAATCTTTTTTTTTGCTATTCAAACCTACATGTGTAGGCAGCCAGTCAGGTGGTGTTCCTGAGGGCTCAGTACTGGGTCCGGTTCTGTTTAATATCTCTATCAGTGATCTGGACGAGGGGATAGAGTGCATCCTCAGTAAGTTTGCAGATGACTTCAGGTTGGGCAGGAATGTTGATCTGCTCAGGGGTGGGAAGGCTCTACAGAGGGATCTGGATGGGTTGGATTGATGGACTGAGACCAATTGTATCAGATTCAACAAGGCCAAGTGCTGGGTCCTGCACTTGAGTCACAACAACGCCCAGCAGTGCTGCAGGCTTGGGGAAGAGTGTCTGGAAAGTGGCCCAGCGGAAAATGACCTGGGGTTGTGGGTTGAGGGCTGGCTGAATAGGAGCCAGCATGTGCCCATCTGGCTAAGAAGGCCAGTGGTATTCTGACTTGTATCAGAAACAGCATGGCCAGCAGGGACAGGGAAGTGATCTTACCCCTGTACTCAGCACTGGTGAGGCCGCACCTCGATTCCTGTGTTCAGTTTTGGGCCCCTCACTACAAAAAGGACATTAAATGACTTGACCGTGTCCAGAGAAGGGCAACAAAGCTGGTGCAGGGTCTGGAGCACAGGTCCTACGGGGAGCGGCTGAGGGAACTGGGGGTGTTTAGTCTGGAGAAGAGGAGACTCAGGGGAGACCTCATTGCCCTCTACTACAACTACCTGAAAGGAGGTTGCAGAGAGCTGGGGATGAGTCTCTTTAATCAAGTAATAAGCAATAGGACAAGAGGGAATGGCTTCAAATTGTGCCAGGGAAGGTTTAGACTGGATATTAGCAAAAGTTTCTTCACCAAAAGGGTTGCCAATCATTGGAACAGGCTCCCCAGGGAAGTGGTTGAGTCACCATCCCTGGAGATATTGAAAAGACATGTAGACATGACACTTAATGATATGGTTTAGTGATGGACTTGGCAGTGTGTGGTGGTGTGACCTTGGCTAAATGCCAGGTACTCACCAAGTCACTTTATCACTTCCCCCCCTTCCCCCTTTTTTCTCAACAGGGCAAAGAGGGGAAAGAAAATAAGATATGAAAAATACCCAACCCTTGTGGGTAAAACAAAAGTAGTTTTAATATAAGCAAAGTGAAGCAAAGGTTTACACGCAGAAGCCAAAAAAGAAAATAGATTTATTCTCTACGTCTCATGAAGAGGTGGTGTCGGGCCTTCTCAGGAAGCAGGGCACCAATACATGTAGTGGTTGCCTCAGAGGACCAAGGGTGACCCCACCCCCTTCCTCCTTTCTCCCAGCTTTGTACTTGAGCAGATGTCATATGATCTGGAATATCCCTTTGGTCAGTTGGGGTCAGCTGTCCTGGTTGTGTCCTCTCCCAAGATCTTGCCCACCTCGTCCCACTGGGGGAGGAAATGTTGGAAAGAGCCATGGAGCTATGTAAGCACTGCTCAGCAGTAGCCACACCACCAGGGTGCTATCAACACCCTGCCAGCTCCCAGCATAAAACACCGCACCCTGAGGGCTGCTAGAGGGGAAAACCAATTCTGGCTCAGCCAGACCCAGTGCACAGTGTTAGGCTTACAGTTGGAGCTGGTGATCGTAAAGGTCTTTTCCAACAAATGATTCTGTGATCTGCCTGACCTTTTTTTCCTCTCTAGTAGGTTCCAACACCTACAAGTTCTGAAAGTGGATTTTCTCCTGTTGTGTCATGTTTCCGAGGAGAGTGCCTTCTAAAAACTTAGTAAAAACAGAAAACCAATGCCACACCCCAAGCCCCCAGAAAAACCATAAACCAAAACTCAAGCAAAAAAAACACCCCCTTTCTGTCTCCTTATGAAGAATGAGGCATAGACAAATACCTGCAGTTTTTCTAATGGTTTCTAATTAGCTTTTTTTCAGAATATGTTGGATTGAAGTTTTGGGAACACATGAGCTTCTGTTGGATGTGGGTTGGGGCTAGCAATGAAGCTGTCCTCTGAATTCTGAAAATAATCGATAGCTTCAAAGGCAGTTTCAGTGGCTAACAAACCAGAAATGCTACAGGAGTTCACACTGAAGCAGTAAATTGTGTGAGGATCCCTAAACGGTGATGATGAATTCAATGGAGAACAGAGAAGCATTTTACCAAATAAACTCTTCTTGTTCCTTACTCTGTTAGGGTAAATGATATACCATATACTTTGCTTATACCTAGAGAATGTGTTCTCCCTGGAGAAGATGGACCATTCCACTTACTGGGTGAACTGCAGTATAACACTGTGAATGTTTTATGTTAAAATTTTTATTCCATTTCCTGTTTGTTGGGTTTAAGGGTTTTGTATTTATTTTGTGTGATAATTGTTCTCTTTCATTCTGAATAAGCTGGAAGGCAGGTATTCTGAAAACTTGGAATTTATTGGAAATTAATAATGCTGGCTGAGTGATACAAGTGTATATGATAACTATTTGTGTGCTTTCTAAAATTAGCAATGTATATGTTCCTAGTATATTTTTTGCTAAACTGTTCATTTAGTTAAACGTCTTGCTCAGCTCTTAATGTATGGAAAGCTTAATGAGCTAATAATTGTGTATTTGATTTGGCTTGGAACGGATACAATTTGAACAAGAGAAAGGGGCATTATGACTGAAACCTATCACAGAGATTTTTGCTATTCCATACATTTTTTTAATTACGTTCTCAGTGTTGTGTTGCATGAGTGATATAACAGAACTAAGCCAAAAGAGAAAGTGGTGTTTTAAAAATATCAGATATCTTGTATTTTCTACAAGTAAGAAACAATGTGTTGTCTTTTACAGTAATATCTCCTGACACCAGTGTATCAATCTTCAGCTGGCAAGTGAATACTTATGGTGAGGGAAAGCCATCTACTTATTTGGGTGTATTTGACATTAATCGCTGGTATCATGCTCAAATGCCAGATTCGCTAAGGTAGATTTTTCTTAATTTGTTTTCAATATCCCCACAAATAATTCATTTGAGAGTTGGCAGTTAGCTTATGCACTTGTTTTCTTTTAAGGCCAGAAGAATTCCTTCATGATTGCCCTTATTTTGCGTTATGGTCCCTGGATACTATAATAAGTGTGACTTCTCCAAACGTCATTTTGGATATTTTAGTACATGAGCGGAGTCTAAGTCGGGGAGTTCCTCCTTCTTATCCGCCACCTGAGCAGTTTTTTAATCCAAGCACCTATAATTTCGGTAAGTATTTCACTGCATTTAATAATGATAAGCCTAAATTGAGGTCAGATGCCATTTACTGATTCTCTTATTCGTTGTTTGTCATTCAAAAACCAAACCAAAAAAACCCAACCCCCCACAAACCCAACTCTGATTACATTGTACTATAGTGGTATTTAATATTGTGAAACGTACCTGACAGTCTGTGTTTGGGATTTCGTTGCTTTTGTAATGTAGCCTGGGAAGCAGTGATGGTTATAAAATGAAATGACTTTGAACTGAAGCTCAAAGCACGTCACCGCAATTGCACTAGAGATGAAATTTCTACAGGTAGTAATTATTTTTTTTAAAAAACTTTGTAAGTGATCTGATGAAGAAACTGGGCACTCAGTTCTGTCTTTCCAGATACTGCTGTTTAGAAACTGTAAACTGGTTATAACATCATTGTGACTATATGGAACGCTGTCAAACATTTGTTGTTTCTGCAGATGGTACGTGCTTGCTGAACTCCGGCCTTGTTCATATGACTTGCACTGGCTTCCAGAAGGAGGTGATCTTTTACTATATCTTTATTGAGAATGTCAAGAGATGTACATTTTCCAAGTATTCTATTTCACTGCTTTCAGTGTCAGAGACCATTTTATGCTCATCCTGCCCATTCACACGCATAATTGCAGTTGTATCCTGCCAGTTTTATGCAAATGGGAATTTTTTCAGTCTACTCATGGAACTGTAAAACTACCACTGTCTCCTGTTGAAGCACGATTGAATGTCTAGAAAGGAATACAGGGACTGAATGTTTAGGAAGGAGTACAATGCTACTTTAGTAGCAAGAACAAAGATGTTGTGAAAGTCAGGGAAAGCTGCCACTTCTTTAATACCCATCAGTAGAACTGCTTGCGTAGTCTTGAGTTAGGGTTTTGATCCCTGACTAACTTGAAAAAGGACAGAATGGAGAAAATTAAAAATTGAAGTAGACTTCAGCTCACTAAATGTTTTCAATGTAAGTCAGCTTCTGCACAAACAAGCATAGAAAGGGTCATCCAAAGTGTGATTTGAAGTTGTGTATTAGTTTTGGTTTATATAGAATGTATTTTGTGTCAGTGTTCAGGGAAGAAGGAAGACCTGTGTATTGACAGAAAAACTAGAACATAATTAATTAAGCATTTCAAGGGCTGCTATTTTAAGGCTGCTATTTAAGGGCTGATACTTTGTTTTACAGGGTTTTTTTGGGTTTTTTTTAGAAACATTGTTAGTTTGGCTGCCCTGTTTAAGACTCTACATAGTAATGCTTACTCAGATTGCTAACCCAAAGCATTTTACTAATGGAAGCTTTCTGACAGTTTCAGTGAACATTTATACTATTTCAGTGTTTAGCCAGAACCTTAGTGGTTTAATAATAATGCTGTGTTAATCTGTAGTTTTTGTTTGATGTTTCAGACCTTGAATTTTTTGAAGAAGTCTGGTCCTTCAATAAGTGAAGCCATTCATGATAGCTACAATAGGTGTCTTGTAGCTGGCTTGCTGTCTCCAAGACTAGTTGATGTCCAGCCATCCAGTCTGAGTCAGGTGAGTGCATATCAGTGAATCAAGGGGGAAATATATTCATCATGTCTGGGAGGGCTGTAGAGGCTACAGGACATGATAACCTGATGTTCATATTATTTGCAAGTTGGGCTGAAGTGCAGGTGTTGACTTTAGTTAGCAGAAGCAATAGTATTCTTAGATACAGGCTACGGAGTTTGATTGGGAACAGCCCTAATGGATCTGTCTTTTAGAGACCCATCTATTAATTCTGTGCCACGAATACACACAAGGAGGTGTGCAGTCAGTGCTGGTCACTTGCCACACAGAGCATCTTTCCCTCAGGACAACCTTCATCCTTGTCAGTTTCTCAGAGCATCAGGTTCAGTGCAGTAGCTGACAGTGTGGGTGTCTCACTCGAATGAGATCTATTGCAGATGTCCGCTTGCGGAACAGTACGTGATCATTTGCTCCAAGGAAGTGGGCTGTGGTAAACAATTACTGTTGTCAGCTCTACCTGGCAATTTTATCACTGCTTCCCCTCATTTTCTCTTCACCAGTAGGCTTTTCTGTAGCCTCTCAAAGCAGATCTTGACCTCTGTAGCCTTTGCCTTGTGCTACGGTAGCCTGATTTACTCCTCTTAGACTGTCCTCTCGTTGCTGCCACATCTTAATCACTTTTACCTCAGGACACCCGCTACCTCTATCTGCTTTATCCCACCACAGGGACTTCACCTCACTTTGTCATAGTTTTTCCATTTGCAGTGCACCAGACTTTCTCTCTCATCTGAAGAGTTTCATGAGATGGAGCCCTTGTGATGAGCAGCCCTATCTTCACCCCCGCAGGTTCCAAACAAAATGATCAGTAAATAATGGAGCAATGAGTAGGAAGGGGAGGACAGTCTTCCCACTACGCTCATATTCCTGCCTACTGGACTCTTTCACCAGAGTTGTGGAAGTGTGTTAGGGCAAGGAACACTTCTGCACAGTGTGTTAGCTGCAGTAAATTTCTTGGCAAGTTGACCTAGCCCATAGTCTACTTATTTTGCAAGCCTGGTGCAGACTCTTACATTCAAATTAGATTTTTTTTCTCATGTCAAGTCCAGTTTGGAAATAACTTGGGAAATCAATAAATGTTTTAGTAACCTTTGCTGAATTGTGACTTTATAGTTCAGAGACTTGTTATACATTTGAGCAAGGATTTCTTTTGAATGTTAGTAAGACCAAATTCAGAATTAGGGTTGAGAAGCTTGGTTTGGAGTTTTGTTTGCCACCATAAGTAGTACTTGGTGTGTTTCCTTGTCTGAAACCCATTTTCAGAAAAAGAGGGAAATACCGTATGTGTATTCTAATGTGTAGAATTACATTCAATCGCTTTGAATGTAATAATTTTACCTAGAAAGGAAACATACTTTTGAATGGGTTTAAAAACCAAACAAATGAAAAGTAGTAAAATTTTATGAAGGATCATTTCACCTGGAAGGAGTTTCAGAACACCAGGTGAAATAAGCTACTTCTTAATATTGCGTGTCTGTGCATACCTGTGCGTTACCCTTCTCAAGGACTACCGTGAGGGACAGTATTTGAACAGCCTAAAATTTAAGCCTATTAGAATTTAAATGTTTCGTTTCTTTTCTGTCCTTTTAGAAAATCGTAACTTACTGGTTTGGGTGTCAGAACGCCGCCTTGTCTTCGTAGTCTAGAAAGCTAGTTGATCTTAGCTTCACTGTTTCTGTGCAAAAAAACATTGCGTAGTTGTATTTGTTCTGTCCCCTTCATGCATTCTTGATGGCAAACCTAGATGCCCAAAATGCTTAGTGGGTATTAGCAGAGGATGTTACTGAAGATAGTCAATTGGAACACAGTCAATTGAGACTCCAATGCAGACGCATGCAAATAAAGATGATAATTCACCTTCAGTAAGTTGAAATGTCAGAGGAAAAGTTTAATGTGTTCCTCAGACCCCCAAGCAGTCCAGCCTGTGGCTATAATTCAGAAAAAGAATGTGGAATTAGTTGCATGTGTACTAATTGACTTTGTGATGTCCGAATGAGTATACAGTTAGAAACAAATGCTTACTGTTGATGGGTGGTTCAGATACTGGAAGTATGTAAGATTCTCACTTTGTCTGTTATGCTTAGGAGGAGCAGTTAGAAGCGGTATTGTCAGCTGCTGTCCAGACGGGTTCTCTAGAACTTCTGACTGGATGCATTAAACACTGGACATCTGAAGGTAATACTACTTCTGTTGCTTTTGTTATCTATTTCTTAGCCTGAAATTGTTGATTCATTTCTTCTTTATTTTCTTTTTTACAGAACAGCCAAGTTCTGCTGCTAATTTACGGTTTGTTCTTGAGTGGACATGGAACAAAGTGATCTATGCAAAAGATGAATTGGACCAAATATGTGAGTACTAGTGCAGCCATTCCGCAAACATAAAATCATTCCTTCTAATTGAGCTTGTTCAGTTCTTCAGGTGTACTTTGAAACTCTGAAATTACTCTGTAGGCTAATGATGTCATATTTATTTGTGAAAAGGTGTTCCGCTCTTTGATGGCTCTTGCAACTTCATTGACCCCCAGACGTTACAGTCTCTTCAGCACTGCCAGTTGCTTTTGAGCAACCTTAGCACGATCTTAAACTGTTTTCTGACAGAAGCACAAGAGCTTACCGAAAAAGGTTTGTAATGTTATTCCTAAATCTTTGCCATGTTTTGTTAAGATTTGAAATTATGTTTGGGTTGTAATTGTGGAAACGTGAGCTTTTGATGTTTGAAAGACGGTCAGATTTAGCTGGGAGAAGGGGTTTAAATCTGCGAAGTTGGGACTACCACTTAATATGCAGTGAGTTCAGGGAAACAGTTTGCTGTGGCATGCATGCAAATGAATAGGGGAGGCAACATCCAGCAAGAAGCTATGCAAGCAGCTGGGTTGAAATTACAGCAACTGAATGTGGTAATGCTGAAAACTATTCTTTTTAATTCTTAGCAATTTATAACTGCATGCAGATACTGTACTGCAAATTGCTAAAAAATATCAAGTAAGCATAAACGAATAACTTGTAAGTTACTTGAGTTTCTATAGCTTCTTATGCTATCCGTTGTTATTGGCATATTGAGGGGGGAAAAAAGAATATCCCTTTGTTATGGTAAAATCTCTGTGACATGAAAATCAAATGTCTTATTCATGAGTGTATGTAATAGTTCAGGCTTTATTTTTTTATTTCAATCTTTAGTGAGTCTGGTTCTTTGTAGGGGTTGCTTTTTGTTCTGGTTGTGATTGTGGGATTTTTCTTCAAATAAGAAAGCGATACAGAGTGAAAAATGGAAAGACAAAATTTCTACTGGGTTATTTTTATACTTTCTATTTAGGATGATAAAGGGACTTTTGTCCAAATGAAAGGAATGGCATAACAAAAATAATCTTATGCCTTGTTTCAGGTTTTACAGACTTGACAAATAAGCAGGTGGTAACTAGCCTCATTTCTCTGTATGCACGAGTGGTCATCTGGTTTTGCCGATCCAGCCTCCTTCCAGAGGGTTTAGGTAAGCATAAACTCTAATACATTTGTAACAAGGAGACTCTCCAGTGAGGGATTCCTATGAACACATGCTTAGTGATGTTTTATGTAAATGTTTTTGTCAGTAACAAATCATGTTGATTCAGTGACAGCATGTGCTGAAGTTCTGGTGATGAAATGGAAATTTTACTCGTTTTTCACACACATAGTGTAGAATAATGCAAGCAGTTTATCCTGGCTGTTTTTCAGAAAGAGCAATAAGTCTCTGACTTCAAGGAGTTGCTTGTGTCTGCAGCTTGAAGTACTTGGGATTTTAAACACATTACTATTAAACAAGAAATACTGGAACACTTGTTTTTGCAGTAGAAGCATTACCTGCATATTTTGAACTTTTTATTTATGTCTTGAGACAAAAACACATCTTGGAAGTACTTCTTTATTTGGACAGAGTATAAATACTATTGCCAGCCTTAATTGTCTTACAAATGCTCACGTGACCTTTGAGAACTGGCTTTTTTTGTAGTGAGCTTCAGCTCACACTACATGTTCTGAACACTACATCAACTTGAAATGTCAGTTGAAGCAAGAAGGAATTCAGTTTTGTGTCTTACATCTCTTTTAGCAAAGGCAGAAACAGGATTGGCTTCTTTCAGAGTTGGAGGCTTGCTTTTGCTACTTGATGTTTAGCTTGTACAATCTTCTGTCATTTTAGTCAAAAATTGTAGTTTAAAAATGTGAAGTTACTTCTTTGACTTCCTTTTACTTTATTCCCTGTAGATGATGACATGCATTTGTCTAGACCTTTCTACAATTATCGCCTGATACAGAGCTACTATACTGGCCATCGGCAGAAACTTGAGCATTTATCAAGGTAAGCCTTACAGGAAAACTCTGGAACCCTTCCATTACAAATTCAGAAATGGAAGTGAATGGCTTTTATTTGCCATGCTTAATGCATTTGCTGACAGTACTCTTGACTTCAGTGATGCCTGTCTTCTGTTGAACACAGAGGTTACTTTCCTGTGTTACCATGTTTCCGTAGACCTCTGCTTAGTACCATTTGTTGGTACCCTCCTTTTTTTGTAGTGTACTTAATTAATTGGCTAATCTGTATAATTTGTTGCTACTGAAAAAGATCATGTGATGAGGATAGGATGAGTCATCTCCAGTTCAGCAAAGCATGGTGTTCACAGAACAATTGTTTTTCACACAGAGGAAAGCATGTTTTAAAAAAAATTTTTAAATCTCTTTTATTGGCTAATAATAGATTGTAATAATTGTATTCGCTTAAATCTCCTACTCAAGTACATTTGTGCAATTCCATAAGGTAGTCAGAGTTGCTGGCTCACTGAGCACTCTACTGGCTATTGGATAGAAGTCACTTCCTCATGTAAGCTCTCTTTCCTGGACTAGTTTACTAGCATATAGGTGATACACTTTGGATTAGATGACAATCTTTTTTTCTCTAGGAATTGTACTGAAAGCTAAATAAAGACCCAGAGAAGCTTAGGCTATGATACTGTGAACAAAATGCCACAAGATGAGTTAAGGTGGAAGCTGCAGCGTGTTAGGTATTGACCTTGAAGTTCATCTTACTTAGCTTACTTCTCAAGTAACTTACATACAGGCTCATGTGTTCCTTAGAAGCATACAACCTCTAGTGTGCTGCTTTTCCTTTTGTCATTGGGAAATTAAAGGGTGGCATCGCAGTCAGCAGAAGACTGTGATGGACTTTTGAGGAATGTAATTTTAAAAGGTTCAGCCATCTGTGATTGTATACTATGGGTATAGAAACAAAAATGCTGCTTTAAGATGATAGTAAAATTTGCCTGTATGCTCAGCTTCCTGAAAATAACTTTTTAGTAACGGAAGTGAGATGCTGAGAAAAAAATACGAACTTACCATTATGTTGTCTCACAGCTGTGTTTTGGAACACTCCAATTTGAGTCATTAGATTTGAGATAAAAAATAGTCCTGGTATTTTGATACTGTTAAGTTTCCTCTGTTAGTATGAGAGTGGTTATTTTTGGTGCTTGAAAAACTTTGTTTACACTTCCTTTTTACTACAAGTAATACAACAAAAAACCTGAAAACTAAAAGGTCACTGCGACTTTTAGGATTTCTATTTTGAACTCCCTTAATAATTCAGTATGATCTAATGAACATGTACATCTGACTAGGAAATCTTTCAGGTGTATTTCAAGTCATAATCATGCCTTTGTGTGTTTGTTACTTTCTTTTCTGTGGGATCTTTTTTTTTTGTTTTGTTTTGACTGGAGGAAATATGTTACACTGAGAGGCTGAAATTAGTGTTTTACTTTGTCCAAATCATTGCTACCTTTTGTTCCAGAGGAAAATGGGATTCTGACTGCTTGATGATTGATGGAATGGTTTCCCAGTTAGGAGACCAAGTTGAGAAGTTGTGGAGGAGAGATGAGGGAGGAACTGGGAAATATCCACCTGCTAGTTTACATGTGAGTGTTCACTGAAAACAACAAATGCAACAACACCACCACCCCCAAAACCCAATGATTTTTGAATGACAGCTTTTCATAAACTTAAAATTTCTCATTTCAGGCACTGCTGGATCTCTATTTGTTAGAAGGCATTGAAGAGAGCTACAAACATGCAATTGTATCCTTTCTAGTTATTTTTATTACACCTTCAGAGTATGCACATAGATGTTCTTAAATGTTTGTCACATATGTGTTTAATAACATTTTAAAATTTATGCTTCAAACACAATGCATATGAAAACATTTACTTTAGAATTAAGTTATAGACAAAAGCATTGGTTTTTTTCTTTGTACTGAAGATTTTTTTATGATTTCTTGTTTTTTAAATGGTTTTTGGCAAAGTCTTTTCTGATATGAGAAAACAGCTTTACTAAGAAATGGTAAAGATCAAAAGCCCCTTTAGTTTTTAAACGCAGTTTTTCATTTTTTAAAGCATCCATATCTGTAGCAAGTGGCTACATACTAGAGTGATGCACTAAAACGTGCCACTTGAGAGCAAAAGTATTTCTCAACAGTGGTTTTCCACTACCTGAGTTTTGCTGAAATCATTGATTTTGCAGGAGAGCGAACAGTGCTTGCTTTTGTTCTGTTGAAAGTGCAGGCACACAGCATAATAAAGAGAGAGAAGAGAAAAATCATGGGCACAAACTTAATTTTTAAGCTGCTGAAATATACAGAATTGCTTTTGTTGTTTGTTGCCTAACCTCAGAGTGCAGCCTAGAGAATAATGAGTTTAAAAATTGTTGTACCCCAGAGCTGTCTTACTAGAATGTGTCCCTAAAATCAGATCTCAGAAAGAGCAAATGGCAGTACCAATGCATCATCCGCATATGATTTCGAGTCCGGTTTTAATCATTCTGAGCTAAGTTGTATTGTAGGGACACCATAATTTACATTGTTTTGTATACTCTGGAAATGAGGAAAAACAACTGTAGAATTTGTTTGCTTTTTTTCTTTAAGTATTGAATGTTCATATCTTTTTAATGTTCAGCTGGTAGCTCCACTGACTAAAGAGGGAGCCTTAGTTTCTAACTGAAGTATTTAAATATCTAGACTTAACCTTTTTGAATGCCTTACAGAAATCAAAGAGTATTTCCTTCTGGCTGTTTATGCAGAATGCAGTTTTGTGGTTAGGACCCAGCATCTTTATGTTAGAAGAACTCAAAATGGCAAGACTAATACATTAGTATTTTCTTTTTCCTACCACTTTTAGATATTATTTCAGTATGTTTCTCTAGATGTAATGTGGTAACTTTCTGCTTTTACAAATCTATTAGCCTTAATTAGATGTTTGATATCAGACAATTTACTTGCTGCTAGATATCATACATTCCTTTCCAAATAAAACAGAAACTTCAATTGACTCCTTCCCAACTGCTTTTGCTATCCCTTGGGGTCTTGTCAAGCTTATTCAAGGTTTTTGGCTTATAGATCACAGCGATTATGAAGTAAGTATGTTACAGTTTAGTTAGACACATATTACAGTACCAAGCTGTTATCTGTAGAATGATTTTTTAAAAATCAGTGCTTCGCTAATAACAGGTGCTAAAACATTAGAAGCTTTTCTGTAATACTGCTAGAACATCTTCAACAAGAAACTGTGATTTGAAATTTTGTATCAATTACTTTGATAGGAAATTAATTAAAAGAAAGAAGAAACCAACTTTAATAATCTTGATATCTAAATTTTCAAAGCCACCCATTTAGGTTGTTTTCAGTAGACCAGTTGAGCGCTTTCTCAAAACCAGTGTTTCAGGTACTTTCAGTATAAAAACAATGGTTATAGCTGCAAGATTTGAGACAGAAGACTGCCAAAATGACTTTTCAATTTAATTCACGTTCTTTCTGATGCTGAAGGTTGTTAATATAAACCATTTGTCTGGGAGAATAACTTATTATTTAGTAATGTATGGATAAAAAGTGATGTTTATATATAGAGATTTGGTTAACCTGGAAAAGTGTGAATTACTCCTTTTAAAATACTTTGCTCTGTATGGCTGATTTTTTTTTTTCCTGCAAATACTTCAGAATTTTTATTTACATGTCCTGTATTGAGTATTTCATTAGTTAGTCATCTGAGTTTATTTAACACACATTCACCCTTACTTAACGCGCTTTTGAATATTTTTCTTGCATGTGTATGTATATATCTTAATACACCTGATCTGTGACTTCTACAGAATTCACTCGCCCTGCTCTTTCATCCAGCTACGATCAAAACTGTGTCATGGCAACATACGAGAATTATTCAGTCCCTCATGTGCCAAGGAGAACAGAGGCGAGCTCTCAGATACATACAGATGATGAAGACATCAATGTCAGACAGTAGTGAAGTGCGGCTTTTCCTCAATGTGTTGTTGTCCAATAGGTAAAGAAATATATCCCACCATTTTGGCATTCAAATATTGTGAAAGGTGGAGAAGAAAAAATACCAGTCACGATCCCCTAAATTTCCTTTAAACTTTGAAACCAATAATTTTTAGTTTTCCTTTTGTAATCTTTTTATTTATCCTATTAATAGTTTACATCTCAAAAATTAATTACAGATGTGTAGTGGAGGCTTGGGATCTGTTGCAGCAACATACCACTAAGTTAAACATAGAAGAACTGTTAAAACACATGTTTGAAATCTGTCAAGAGATGGGACTAATGGAAGATTTATTGAAGCTACCTTTCACAGACACTGAACAAGTAAGTGTAGACAAGAAAAAAAATAAATCATCCCTTTGAAAAGAGAAGAGGCAGAATCATAATAGATTTCTTGATATGTGTTATTTCTCATAGGAGTGTTTGGAGAAGTTTTTACAGACCAACGCTGGTGTTCAGAATCCTGAATTTCTTTTAGTCCATCATTTGCAGCGTGCCAACTATATCCCAGCACTACAGCTGAATCAGTCAATGAAGGTTAATCTTATGGTAAGCTTAGAAGTTCTGTCAAGCATGCAAGTTTCTGTGAGGTAACCAACCATTTTTGATAGTATTCTGCTTTGTTTTTTATACCATTCTTTGAAATAATAGGAATAAGTTTCCACACCTTAAGTTACAGCTGAACCTAAAAGTTTAACAAAATATTTCACTACTCCAAAGCTGCTCTGTGAAGGCATAGATTAAATGTTTACAGAGCATTGTTGACTCATCTTCAAATAGTTTGTTTGCATTCAAGGAATAAATACATACCTTTTCTGTCAGCCAGTCTTCTCATTCAGACACGTTATTCAGACACGTATGTTATGTATAGTGTAGATTACTCCAGGTTGTTGGTATCCCTCCTTTCTGTGGAATGGAGAGTGTGTTGTATGTCATCTCTCGTATCTGGCACATAACTTTCTTCTAGCTGAGAGCAGTCTGGATGCCAATTCACAGGTAAAATTTGCACAGTGGTTTCGTTTGGTTGTGTTTTTTAGTTTTATTTTCTCAAGTTATAGTGTGAGCTCTACAATTCCACAACTTCCATTTTCCCACTTTTATGACAATAATTCTTACCTAACTTCTGTTTCTCAAAAGAGCCAGACTAAATATTGTGCTATTGGAACTTCTGTTATGAATCTGTGGTTCATTTGCTGTTTTCTGGAACCATAGTTTTCCAGTGAATCAAACTTATAAGGTGGTCTTGGAAGTTTTAGGTCCTGCATTTGAAATCTTTCATCCAGCCAGAAGGTGTGTGTAGGTAGCTTTTTCTTACTCATTTTAATATTCACATCACTTTGTCCAACGTAATTTGCATTTGCCCTTTATATTCAGTTCTCTTGGACCTTGGTGTTTCAGGAAAAGCAAATGAAAGCCAGCTATTTTGTAAGCAAGCCATTTGAAAAATGCAGGTGGTGACAAGTGTATCGGAATAAGGTTCTGCAGTGTGCCAGAACTGTTTTAACTTAAAGTTGTAGGTTCTGTTACTATTCTAGTCTGCCTTCCACTTTGGTAGAATAACCAGGGGAAATTGGTGTGTGTTGATGGGTAGAACTTGCTGCTGTTCTGTGTAGTGTATGTATTCTACTATATATGTAGAGAAAGTTTATCCACTGTTTAGAAATAGCACAGATAGTTCTGTGCAATGAACTTGTTGTAATTAGTTAACTTCTTGCTTTATGCTTTTCATTTAACAGAATGATCCTGATCCTCGCTTGAGAGAGAGAGCAGTTGCCAGAAATTCTATATTAGACCAATATGGCAAGATCCTTCCTAGAGTTCAAAGGAAGCTGGCTGTAGAGAGAGCCAAGCCTTACCACTTGCCTTCGTCAGCCTTAAGAGAAGGTAATTTGGGGGGGGAGGGGTGTACAATGGGCAACTAACCCTCACTTCGATTACACAAGGCTGATATTTTCTCCCCTTTTGCTTTACAGTTGCAAGACCAAAGCCATTATCAACAGTAACAAAACAAGCTAATGCAGGAAATGTGCATACCAGAGCAACTTTCATCAGTAATGTGTTGTCCAAAATTGGAGAAGTATGGGCAGGAAACGATCAGAAAGCCAGTTTCTCACACTATGATAGGTAAACAACATTTTAACAAAGTTCAGTCTTGAGCTACATGTGGAGAGAGAGAAATCCATTTGAATTATATTGGTGTTTTGGAGGAAGGGTGCACCTGAATAAAGCTTTGGCTTTTTTTTGTACATATAGTATATAAGATTTAAGAATCAATCCATCATAAGGAATACTTGGGGAGAGAGAGAGAGATATTTTCTGTTGCAATAATCTTATTTATGGCAATACGTATACTTACATTATGGTAAATGTGTTCACAGGAATTGAAGATAGCTGAAACTAGAACTAGGATTACCATCAGTCTATTGGTGTACTGGTTTTGGTAGACTTGTGTGATCAAATAGTACTTTTTTACCCATTGCTGCCCAGTTTCTGCTTTCTTTCTGCCTTTTTTACATAAAATCAGGCAGAATTATGAAGAGTGGAAAAGAGGCTAGTAGTTGTCAGATCATTTTCTTGCAAGTGGTATGGTCAAATAAACGTGAATCCTAGTATTTGAACTTGAGGGGAATGAAAGTCAGTTGCATTTTCCTTGTCATTATAGTCCTAGAGTTACAGAACCATCCGTCGTACCTCGTCCTCTCCCTGATGCAGAGTTGCGCAGTGCATTTGTTGGGACACCAGTTACAAAATTTTCACAAAAGTATTCCAGGTATAGTAGACCTACAGAATGAATATTTCAAAAAGATGTCACTTCTCATATATATGTTTATGTATATGTATGTGTGTCTGTGTGTGTGTACTTTCTGTGTTTGCAAAAGGGTTCTGTTTGCATTTAGTTTTGTATCTGTTAAAGAAAAGGTCAACTTAGGGATGCAACTCAGTGGAGAATGTGAGTGATCCCAGCATTGAAATGCAGGTGAATTTTCTTCTGACATGAGAATTACATCCCTTGGGTAACTTAAAATTGGATTACTCTTGCCTCGGAGACAGTGATTTAGGAAATTAAATATGACATGTAAAGAAATAATTAAAAAAAAAGAATGCCTGCAACTTGCTCATGGGCCTGAGACATCACCCCAACAGTGAGGGTTCACCCCTATTTCTTGTTCATTTAATGTTTTTGTTATGTATCATCTCAGATTTCTTGAACAGAGCATAATTTTTTTTTCATTTATTTATTGATGTTCATATTTTAAATTGGATATCTCAACAGATTGCTGGATTTGGTGGTTCGTCCTGCCCCTTCATGTTCTGCAGCACAGGGTGGTAGCTGGCAGTCACCATGCAGAGCTTCTACTTCATTCATGGCATCCAGCCCACTGAAATTAAATATACATGGTTCCATCTCACAAAAGAATTCTTCAGGAGCATCTGAGATGGATTTACTACAGACTCCTCTTGTGGTTAAGGTTTGTATTTTGAGAAAACAGTAAGAACCAACCAAACCAAAAGCCTATAAACTTTGTTTAAAATGAAACCACCAAACTTTTAACACAAACACTGCTGCATGCAAATTGTGGCATATTTTCAGTATGCATGTGGTTATTGTATATGGAGTCCTTTTGGAAGCAGGATATTGGGAACAATCTTGAAGAGGGAAAGGTTAGTTCTACATTAATTGCAGTATGCACATTGTCCCATAGCTCTGTGAATTACACTTGTTCTTATTGCGTGGAATAAAGTAAGTTAAAATTGGACATTTCAATATACTTGATCCTTAACGATGCAATTTGTAGCTTAACCATCTTGTTATTTAAGTGCTCCATAGCTCTGTACAGTTTGACTTGCATACCTACCAGCAAGAAATGTATATGCTTCTGTTTCTTAATCCAGTTAAGTGAATAACAACTAAGTGATGTCAGTCTCTGTCAAATTCAGTGATGGCTTTTTGCAGTAGTTCTACTTATTGTTGGTGTTAAGCTGTATTTCCATTCGTTCGTTGCCATCAAACTCTTATGAGGAAATAGTAACATTTGACCTGTCTTGCTGGTGCTGGTCTTTTTGCTTTTGATTACCTGAACAAAGTAGTTGTGATCTCTCTGAATTATAACCTTTTTCTTCTTATTAAATATCATCCCTTTCATTAAGCTAGTTTCATTATCCTCCTTTTGAACCCTTTTGGTACTGTAAATTCTTTTGTGAGCTGAGGGAAGAAGATCTGAATGCTTCTAGACAAAGATGTGTGGGTATTTTTACAGCAGTGTCACTTAATATAGTCTAGCACGTGGATTGATTAATTAGTGAAAAAATAAGATCTTGTTGCTTTGCTGATTGCCATTTCGCATGGCATTGTGTTCAGTCTCTGTATCTGGGGTAACATTTGAAGTTGCATGTCTTTAGAAGAGCAGTGTAGAAATTGCAAAAAATACTAGGAGAGAAGAACATTGCAAACAACAAGATCCTTGTTTGATCAGGAAATTAATTTGAAAAATAAGGTACTATGTTGGCATTGGGAGGAGAAAAAGCCAAAAGAAACAGTAAGTATGGGGGGTTGTATCATTAATATTTTTATACCTCTGGAAAAAGAGCAGTGCAGAGGCTAAACTTTGTCCTCTCTGCTGGTGCAACTTCAGTTGTAGTTTAAACTAATGTTCTTGACAATTGAAGTCTTCCGTTTTGAAATTTTAACTGGTTTTAAATTACATTTTTTATTTCTTTTTGTAGAGAGCTAAATTTTTAGCCACATCTGCTTCTGGTTTTCCTGGGTTTACTCCTCAGTCTATTCTCAGATCCAGCCTTCGCACCACACCCCTAGCAACTCCCTCCGCATCTCCAGGACGATCAGTTACTCCTCCTCTACGAGCAAAGGAACCTAGAATATCTTTCAGGGAAGAGAACTCAACTGCAAAATGGACTGTTGGGGTAAGCTGGGCCATAGTTAATGATTTTTATAGTGAAAGACGCTATAGACTGTGTTTGGTTTAGAATTTTTTTAAAGTTTGCCAAAACTCCTTATATTGGGAATTGGAATTGCAAACCACAATGGCAGATTTGAATTTGGTCAAAAAAAAGGTATGTTAGACTTTCCATAATGTCACCTGCCTGCAGGAACATACTCAAAATACATGTTGATACCAGATCATGACAGTTTTACTCCAGCGTTGTTAGGAGCTGTGATTGTTCCAGATCACTAGTTCAGCTTTCCGCTGTATCTCTTCAAATGGTGGTATGGCAGGAAGGTAAGGAATACAGATTGGGCCAGCTGTTTGGGTTTGTCAAGCTTCGTGAATTAAACATCTTTGAAAGCAATGGAAGTCATGAGCTTCATTTGCTTTTGGTCTCTTTTTGCAAGGCTGGGTTTACTTAAATTATGATAAAAATAGACTCCTGATGAAGCAAGCTGTACTGTTGTCTGTTGTCTAGCCCTAAAGTTGTTGGGTTTGCTTCTTGCCTTGTACCAGTGGTAGCATTCATATAGATGTCAAAAGAAGTCAGTCCACATGCAAGTTGCCCCCCTTTTCTACTCCTTTTGTTCTGTCAGTTGGATTCCCTGGCTAAGCTTGTCATGCTGTTGCTGAAGGAACATACCAAAATCAGAGGCAGAAGAGGATCTACGTGTATGAGCTCTCCGTGCACATGCTAACAAATTGTCAGAATCTGGTTTTGCTACACCTCTTATTGCCTGTTATAAAGAGCTACTTAAGTGTAATAAGAGGCACTCTCTCTTACATGAAATTCTTACTAATAGTGCTGTGTGGCCAGATTAATTTACTTGTTCCATGCTGTAGACATAGTGTATAGTGAAATATTTTAGTAGTGCATGCAGGTTGACGAGGCAAGCATAAAAAAAGACAAATCTTCAGTTATGATTTTAGGTGGGCAAAGCTCCCTGTTGAAAACATGGTAGTGAACCCAATGAACAGTCTTGAGATGACTGTATAAGCAAGCACATACAAGATTCGCTTCATCTTAATTCTCCAAGGTTGTGGAAACTCAGTAAGCAGTCAGAAGTGCGATTAATTTTTACACTTGACTTTAAAAGCTAAGGTAGTGCTAGAATAAGAACTCATTTTGTAGCACCTTGCTTAAGTTGGCACTTGTAAAACTTATAAATATTGATATATATTTGGGGTTGGGGTTTATTTTCTTTCTTTGACAGAAAGCCATATGCATGTTGTTTATTGCGATTTTTAATATTTTTTTTTTTAAAAAAAAAGAAGGTAACAGAAGATGATAAAGCACTGTTTGGAGCTTCCTCGGAGCATCATCATGGAGTGGTGGAGGATGCTTGGTCTGAAAGTAGAGATAAAGCAACTCTGTTTACTCTGAGCAATCCTGAGGAGGATCGTGCTGAAATGGAAGAGTCTTCAGAAAGCGTACCTGGAGATGGGGTGGAGAAAATGGATGTCAGCAAAGAAAATAGCAACTTCTCTGCCGGGTCAGACCAAACTACTTTGGAGTATCATGATGCAAAATCACCTGGTGATTTTGAAGATGATGTCATCTTTATAGCTGTTAAACCAGCTAATTCTTCCACTGAAGAAACTGACGATCTTCAAGAATCGGAGAAGGAAGAAGACAGGGAAGTGGTTGAAGATAAACCTTTCCAGATGGAACAATCAAATCCATCAGAACTAAGAAAAGAAGCTGGTGTGTTTCATCCTATGATTACCTAAGTTTCTGAGTTTTTTCCAAATATTTTTATAAGGTTAAATTACTGATGAGTGCAACAGTTAACAGTGAGTGCTCACAAGTGTCCTAGGCACTTCCTTGTCCTAGGCTTTTAAAATTGCCACTGTTTTGAGTCCTTTTTTGGGTATCCTGGATGTTATGAATGTGTAGCACTTTTGACTGGTATTTCTTGTGTGTCATTGCAGCTGAGAGGCTGCAGTGACTTGTGGGAGTTTTGAGCAGGATATGAGTGGAAAACTGAGGCTTCTAGTTATGTTTCAGGTGTACTTCTATAAGCTGCAGGTTTTTCACAGCAAGTATAGTGTATGGTGTGCTTTGACTAGATAGAGGTTTTTTTAACTGGTTTGCTAGTGCTCAGTTTGTGTTTGTTCTGGAAGTGAGTCTGCTTTGTGTATCTGCTTCTGATTACAGCTATGCTTGCTCACTCAACAGCTTATGTAGCTTTTTCCAAACCTGTTTCAGTTGTTTTTCAGTAATTCAACTCATTCAAACCAGTCCAGCTGCTGAGGGTGTGTTCATATGAGCAGGTCAGCTGGCAGGTTAGAAGAGATGTAGCTCACTAGCTGGTGAGCAGTAGTGAAGGGCTGGGAATGAAAGTAATGCAGGAACAGGGAGAAGATGTGCTACAGTCAGTATTTGATGAACAGAGCTCAGTCCGTTCAACTCTTCATAAAAACGTTTGCTGTTCCTGGGACATGTATGCAGGTGTAAGAATTCTGCATCTGAGGTCTTGAAACAGTTTGTAGCCATTAGTGGGTACTCTGGTATCGGTACATCATATGCAGCCTGATTCAATCTTAAGTCTGAGATGATTCTGGAGGATCCTGGAGAGTGATTGTTGCTGTTCAAGTTCCTCAGCTCCTTTTTAAATAACAGGAGTGCCCAGATACAGACTCCGTGAACATGGGTAAACGGGGTTGTCCAGATCTAAGTGTTTCTAGTAAGATAGGTCTAAACATTTGTCTGTCCTATTTTAGCTGTCTTTTATTTGGACAGAAAGCAAAGGTATTTTTCATGAAAAATAATAAGGTACTAATTTCTAAAATTGAACCTGTTGAGATAAAAACAGGTTAGCAAGCAGTTGGGTTTCAACCCCGCCACTCAATCACTAGAGAAAAGGACAAGAAAAGACCTTAGATATATTCTTGTAGAAGAGTGGAAAGGGAGTCAACAAAGTAAAGCAGCGTTGCTGGGATGACATAAATATCCAAAGAGAAATAGAAAAAGTACTCCTCAGTTTTAAGGAGGCAGCATGTTTTCTGAAGTTTTCATGTATTAGGTCAGTAACATCAGGTTTAGTTTGTACACAAAATATCAGTGGTCTTTGTTTTGTTGGGTTGTTTTTTTTTTTCTTGATGGAAATTATGTGCCAGACCTCTTGTTTTACTGGAAAGAAGAGTTCAGACCCGTGCATTAGAAGTATTGCTAGCATTATTTTGTTAGATCAGTATCCTAGGTGAAATGCATAAAGGCTAACTGTAAAATCATATGAGCATTTTAAAAGAAACGATGTTAAGTGCAACAGGGAAGTCATTCCTCTTATCTCTTTTTGTAGGCTTTGTGGGAGAGTCAAATGCTGAATGGCTTAACCTTCCTGAGGATGATAAATTGGTGTTTAAAGCTGCTGAGGCTGCTACTTTTGGGACTGCCAGTGAAGGGTAAGTTTATAAAATAGATGTACCTTTGGGTTCACATAGCATGTAACTCCTGGCATTCCTTTGTTTGAAAACTATGACATTGACCTGGTATTGGTTCTTTCCTGTGTTCTTAAATATAACAGCTTTTCTATTCCTTTCTGTCTGTCACTGGAACTAATTTGGCATGAATATAAGTCAAATGGACTAGCTGTCAAGTTGAACCTTTTCTTTCAAATCATTGTAGACCCCAGAGTATGGTGATAAAGACTTCATTCAACTGGCTATACAAACCTTTTACAGTTTGAGAGTTACTAAGCAGATACTGCGAACATAAGACCTGCTTCTGTCTGAAAATTGTGTTGCTAAAAATTACACTTGAGATTCCTGTAACTTTAGCGGGTTTATTTTGGGACTTTGAATACTTTCTGGCAGTATTTTATAGACATAATTTCTCTTTTCTCTGTGTGCTCAATTAACACCTATTTGCTTATTGAAATGGAAGCAGTTTTCTAACCAGGTGCTTTAAAAGTTGCAGCTGCTTAGTGATAAAGACAGAATGTTAGCAATGAAATAACCCTTAATTTCAAGCGCTACCTTACACTGGCACAAACTTCTGTTCAGTTTGTTCTAAAACTCCAATATAGCAGTTGCACTCTTTTCTACAGAAAACAAGTAATGTATTATTCTTTAATACAGCTGTTGTTGTGTTATTATCTAGTGTTAGATAGCTGGGAAGAATGTTAAGGGCTTGATTTGTTACATAAAATAAGTCATGAATTCAATGAAGTTATGTTGGTAAAGGAATTTTTAATCCTTTTTTATTTTTTTCTATTTTGAGACTTGGAGAATTTACAAAGTAATTTCTAAAGCTCTTCAGTGTTTGTTTTGAAGCATTATGATTAATTTCTCTCTTTCTGTTCGTGAAGTGAAACAAACCACCAGGAGTCCAAAATGTCCTCTCCATCAGAAGAAAACACCATACCAGTTGCAACAAATCCACAGCTTTCTGAACCCCTGGAGGCAGACAGTGAATGTATGTACAGTATGTTGGAGATGTTAAGTGAGTTAAGGTAGCTGAAATCCTGAAATAAAATGTGTAGTTTGCCATAGCACTACAGGCATCTCAGATTGAAGCAGTAGTAGCATGTTACTACTGACTTGCGTTGAACTGCAGGGAGAATACCCTCCTCAAAGAAAGCCCTTGTAGAAGATGCATAGTGAATGTTCCTGTTCTTGATAAAGATAATGAGCAAACTGGTAGAATTTAAAATATTGGGAGAGTATTTATTTATTTATTTATTTAAAATATTGGTATTTATTTTAATGTTATACACCGCTACTAATTTCCTTGAGTTACTAGTTTAAAAGATGATGCATCCTCAGTATTCAGGTTGTGAAGAATAACTAGCTATCAGTGTGCCTCTCCAGCCACCTCTGTTCTTTTCCTCTATGGACTTGCCAGTTGATTTTCCCCTTCCTCTTTTTTTTTTTTTAATATTTTTTAATTGTGGGACTGCATCCTTTACCAGATAACTAATTCTGGCTTCTATTTTTTGGAGAAAGCCCAATATATGTGGCAGGATGGAGAACTGTATTCTTGGCACCTGCTCCCTCTGTTAGTTCCTGTTGTGTAAACCTGTGTCATTTATATAGCAGATAAGTTAAAATTATATCAATCTCTTCCAGCTGTGATAAGTGTCCTTGACAATGAGGATGTGGTCAGTACTCATTCAGAAAATCACCTTGTGGGGAAGCATGTGGATTTACCTAAAGAACATAACCTAGAAGCAGCTGAAGTTGAAGAAAATGTTCCTTTTCTGCAGGAAGAAATAACTGTTTCTAACAATCTTCCTAAAACTGAGGACATTAATGTAAGTAAACTATTTCCCCATTTTCTACAAAATAAAAAAACACTTTGCAAATTCAGGACAGTCCTGTCTTGCCAACAATTAAGAAGCACACAAAACTGCCTTGGTTTTCTTAGCTGGGTAACACAAGTTAAAACCTTGTTACATAATGGCAGATACATTTTTCTTGTATGCATTTGCTGTACCTAGAGCATGGAATTAAATCTGTCAAGACTTGGGCCTTTGAGAGCTGTAGTAGTACAAAAAAAAATGCCTAAACTATTTTTCAAAACAACCATGTGTTCATTTAGCTTACTAGAACTTAAACATTTTGTTATTTGACTTAAACAATCCGAAAGTTTTCATGTTAAAGACAATAAGAAAAGTTGTGGAGTACACCTTTCTGATACTGGATGTCATTTACCAAATGACAAAATGATGTGGGAACTAAACGAATTTTCAGAATTACTTAGGTGATTAGATCCTGTACTATTTGTTTGTTATTAACATAAACAGAATTCCCAGTAATGAATTATTTCAGTATCAACATATTTCCAGCTACCTAAAACTTTTTTTTTTTCTGTAAAAATACATTTTTTTTAACATCTAACCTTTGTGAAATACAAATTTGTAAAGGTTGTTTACATGGACTGAAAATTAGAACTAGAGATTCTCCAGTTGTCTCAGGTTTTTCCCTGTTCTTACTTCTACTGGGGCTGATGAGTTATTTGGATTCATTGTGGATGCTCTCTTAAATACCAATTTCTTGTAAGATTATACACACAGGAATTAATAATAGAGTGAAATACAAGCTGAAAGGTAGGCCTACACCAAAGAGATGGATCTTAAGTAACGGAAATTTTGGATGAAGTTAAATAAGCAGTCACTAATTTAGCTTGTCAGGATTTAGGAAAATGCTGTAGAAAAGAGGATTATAGATTTGGGAATACATAATCACTTATGGGATTAAAATTTGTGATGGGAAGAAAGGAGCAGGTACATGAGGTGGTGCAAAGCTTCTACAGTCATTCAAGTAACAGTACTGTGATGGTGGTTCTGCTTTCGTTACAACTGGTTCTTACTGATTTATATGTAAACATCTCATTTTGTCTTGTCTGCCTTCACCGAGTTTAGGACAAACCACTTACTGCTTTTCTTGTTCATAAATTTGTAAGCATAAAAGGGAATTTTATGTAGACTAGTACTTTTTGAGTTTAGTTATGAAGCACAGCATGTTGCTATAATATGATGCTTTGTCAAATTTTGACAAAGCAGGAGGCTTGACAAACCTAATCTATGTCATGGCAGCCTGCTTATTGGATGAGGGAAAGGCTGTGGATGTTGTCTACCTTGACTTTAGTAAGGCCTTTGACACTGTTTACCACAGCATTCTGGCAAAACTGGCCGCTCGCGGCTTGGATGGGCACACACTTTGCTGGGTAAAAAACTGTCTGGATGGCCGGGCCCAAAGAGTTGTGGTGAATGGAGTTAAATCCAGTTGTGGCCAGTCATAAGTGGTGTCCCCCAGGGCTTGGTTTTGGGGCCACTCCTTTTTAACATCTTTATTGATGATCTAGACGAGGGGATCGAGTGCACCCTCAGTCAGTTTGCAGCTGACACCAAGTTGGGTGGGAGTGTTGATCTGCTCGAGGGTAGGGAGGCTCTGCACAGAGACCTGGACAGGCTGGAGCCATGGGCTGAGGCCAACTGGAGGAGTTTCAATGAGGCCAAATGCCGGGGGCTGCACTTGGGCCACAACAACCCCCAGCAGTGCTACAGGCTTGGGCAGGAGTGGCTGGAGAGCTGCCAGTCAGAGAGGGACCTGGGGGTGTGATTGACAGCCGGCTGAACAGGAGCCAGCAGTATGCCCAGGGGGCCAAGAAGGCCAATGGCATCCTGGCTTGTGTCAAAAATACTGTGGCGGTTGTTAGGCATTGGAATGGGCTGCCCAGGGAGGTGGTGGAGTCCCCATCCCTGGAGGTGTATATGAGTTGGGTGACATAGTGTAGTTGGGAACTGTCAATGTTAGATTAATGGTTGGACTAGGTGATCATCTTCAAGGTCTTTTCCAACCCAGATGATTCTGGGATTCTGTAAAAAGGGCAGATTCTATGGAGACTCGTGTTGCCTTCTTTCCTCTGCCATTATTGGCTAGCACTATAACTTAGAGGCTTTCGTAAGGGTCTTTACACATTGATTAAATTATCCTGACCATCTGAGTCACTTGAGATACGTAACGTACTACTTTTGTTCTCCACATGAAAGCCTGAGTATCTCATGTGGATCTCAAAGGAAAGAATAATGGCTCAGTACAGAGAACTACAAAACATGAGATGGAGGTATTTAGGATATGAGACAACATAATGTGTAGTCTCATGCCATCCAAGTGATTCCTTAAAGTGTGGTGTTGAGATGGTGGGTGTGATTCTTGCCAGTTTGACTAAGTGTTGTGGTCACAACTATCATGACTGAAACTTTAAACTTGGGGGACATAATTGTATTTTGCCCTGTTCAATGTGGGTATGGTCACTCTGTATGTATTTGTAGTCAGTCCAGAAAGTACTGCAATGTGACAATTACTGCCAGTTGTGTATACAGCTTGTATTGTAAAACTGCTTGCTTTGTTCATGGGTGGTGGCAAATCATTAGTCAGGAGTAGAAGTATCAAAAATGGAGTATGTGATTGCATACACAGGATACTCTGTTCTCTGCTCCTTAAATACATAAACTATGATCTGTAGGAGAGAGTACATAGTATGTTTCCCACTTCATGTTTGGTGGTGATTTGAAAGGGAAAGCAACATTACACTGTCCTCAGTTTCACTTAGCTCAGCTTGAAGTTAGTCTGTTTGGTGATTAATAATGCACTAACAGACATTTTTTAACTTTAGGTTATTGAAGATAGTGCAGTTAAGGCACAAACCTCAGAAGCAGCACCTGAAATGTCACTGTATAGTGAACTACATCCATCAGGCAGTCTTCAATACAGCTACGAGACTCTGGAGCAACAGTTTGCATGCGATTTGCCTGATAATAAAGATGGTGAATGTGATGCAGCTGAGGGAGATGGAGAGCTTTTTATACCTCAAAGTAATTTTACTTTAGTCTTGGAAGGAGAAGAAGGTGAAGCAGAGATGGGAGACCCTACATTAGTAGATGCTTCTAAACCGGCTGGCACAACAACAGAGGAAAAACCTGTGAACAGTTTAGGAAATACTGAAAATCAAGAACATGTTACAAACTCGGTGTCCACTGTAACTAGTGATCAGGAATCTCAAAATATTGCAGAGTCTCTCCCCTATGTGCCTGAACCCATTAAGGTAGCTATTGCTGAGAACTTACTGGATGTAATTAAAGACACAAGAAGTAAAGAATTTACATCTGAAGTTGTAGAACAATCTATTACTGAAACCATAGGTAAAAAGGTCACTAGATTCCAGAAGGCAAAAGCTCCCTTAACACCTGTGCCAGAAGGAGTAGAAGATGAAACCAGCCTACACCAAGTCATCACTCCTAGAACACGTGCAAGGGGACAACTGAGCAAAAGTCTGAGTATTCCATCGGCAGGCACTCAGCAACTGCTGCGGACGGACAAACCGGTTCTGTTTGGACTATCTCCTAGGAGAAGTACCAGGCGAGCAAAAGAAGTGTCTGAGACTTCTGGTCTTCAAACAGAAGGAAGTACTCAAGATGAGCAAATACCTGTGATGCCTGTTACTCCTAGGAGAGGTAGGAAACCGAAACTGACCAATTTAGAAAAAGTAGAAAGCAGCCATTCTGATGGACAAACGTTGTCTGTCAGTACACAGTCCATAGCCGTTACTCCAAGAAGAGGATTAAGGAGAGCAAAGGAAGCTCCATCGGAACTCTTGGAAGAGACTAATGAGGAAGCTTCTCGTGCTGAAGGTAGCATTATTGCTTCTGCTACTTCCAAAAGGACTAGAGGAAGAAAAAGGTCAGCAGGAGATCAAGAAACTGACCTGAGTGCCACCAGTCAGAAGATTAAAATGGCAGTCAGTCCCAGCAGAAGCACAAGAAAAATGAAACACACTAATGTACAATTTACTGAAAATATTGTCAAGGATCAAGAGGGGCAGCCCAGTGACCAACTCCTCTTACCTGTGCCAGCTAAAAGAGGCAGAAGAAGAAAGATGAGTTCATCCGAAGCTTCAGAAAATTCTGACCTTGATCTGTCTAGATCATTGCTTCCTCAAACAGAATTTAAACTTCCTGTCACTCCTAGAAGAAGTGCTAGGAAGGGGACACAAAGTCTCTTGGCAAACACAGAATCTATCTCTACTCAGGAAGACACATGTTCAGGTGGGAAAGTAGAAATCCTTGACACTCCTAGAAGAACAAGAAGAGTTCCACCTGCTAAACCAGAAAAAAATACTCATGAGCAAATGCCTGCACAGCCAAATGAGGAATCGACCACACCCCAGACTACAGTAGGGAAAGGCCGTCGGGGCAGAAAGAAGCGATCAGTAGTGGAGAAAAGCATAGGGGAGGAGGCCTTCCCCCAGGGACCTGATGGCAGCCCTTTGCTGCTTGAAGACATAAACCCATCAGGGTGTGATGAAACATCAAGAACTTTAACAGATAATATTACAAGAATCAGATCTGGCAAAACTGCCATGCCTCAGAAACTGTCTGTTGAGGAAAATGAATCCTTCCTTTTCTCTCCTCCTCTCACAAAGCTGAAAAAGAAATGTAAAGGTAGGTGCACTATATTTATATAAAAATAGTGCATATTCCTGTTTTGCAAACCACAGACTGTGAGGGTGGCTTAAAGTATTGTGAAGAATGTAACCATGCAAAACAAAAAATTTTGAAAGAGGCAGTTCATCTTTTTTCTGAACTCTACATGACTGTGTGGCTAGGTGCGGTGGAAACAGATAAGGAGGCTTCTCTGAGTAGAATGAAATGAAATTTAAGCTGAATTCTTTTTAGGAGCTTATTTTCTATCAGTTTTGAAAACTGAAGGGTATCTGTTCATATGATTGGCATCCCTTCCTTCCAGTGGAGAAATAAAGGAGACATGCTTCCAAATTCTGTTCAGTTTTTAACCTAAAATGAGCTACAAACTATACAGCTGTTTAACTATGTGACTGTTGTTAGTGGGCATATACTTTGTTATGGAAGTTACTGTGCATAGGGTCCTTTTTATTAGCGTATGTGATTAAAAAAAAAAAATAAATTGAGATATGTAAGGACAGTTGATGCCTCTGAACATTGTATCTTTGGTTATGTAAGTGCAGGTAAAATCACTACACTGGCTTATTTTTGTTTCACAATTTACTTTAAAAAAAAAAAACAAACAACCCTGGATCCCAGGAGGCAGTCATTAGGGGAAAATGCCTCTACACTGAGTGTTTGTAAACCTAATTGGACCTTTTATTTCAGAAAGCGACTGTGCTCTTGATTATCAGCTGTAATTTAACATCACTGTCCTTTATAATGTTAATTGCATGTTAACAATGCATTGTCATTTTAGCTGGAAAAGCAGACCATCCTGTGCAGCTTAAGGATTTAGACCCGGACTTGTCTTCTCAATTTGTCTTTTCACCCCCTCTTTTGAGGTCAAGGAGAAAAAATGTATCTAGCATTTCCCGAATTGTGAAAGAACCGGTAAGTAAAAGCTCTAGTAGTCTCACGTTCCTGATTTTTGCTCTGTATTGCTTTTTCAAGTCTTACTTTGAAATGCCTTGCTTTTTTTCCTTGAAAGTTGTCCTGGTTTCAACCAGGATGGAGTTAATTTTCATTGGAGTATTTCATACCATGTGATGTCATGCCCAGTGGACTGTCAGGCAGTATTGTTGCTGTGGGGGGTGGTCGCTGTGTTTGGTAAGCCACTGTTGCATTTTACCAGTTTTCTTTTTGAACTCACTATTGTTACTGTTGGTCTCTTGTTATATTTATAAACTCTTTCTTTTTATTCAACCCACCAATTCTCTTCTTCTGTCCCTCCCCTATCTTACCAGAGGGGGGAGGGGGAGGTCAATGGCCAGCCCTGTGGTGTTTGGCTGCCAGCTGCATGGAGTTTTTTTTCTTTTTTGAGATAACAACAAAATGGGTAAAATGTGGATTGCTTGGCTTCTTAAGATCTTATCACCTCATTTGCAATAAGTGTTTCCCATGCTGTTGCTCATCTTCAGTGAGAGGTGGGTTAAGGTTTTGTTTCTGATGTACTATGTGGTGCTCATCTATGATAGCATGCAGTCATCGGCTCTGGGGCTATTTACAGCTGTGTTTGAAAGATTTGGGTGTTTAAATATCTGTGGAATGTTGACCTAAATATGGTTTTTGTGCTGTTAGGAGTTAGTGCTTTCCTGCATGTGGTTCAGGTTTTGTTTATGGTTAAGCTACTATTTTAAGAGTAACCAAGCAACAGCAACTGCAGCCACTGCAGGCCCAGGGACAGGGGCTGCAGCTGAACCAGAGGACCAACCCACGACAGTGTCAGTTGCTCCCATACAGAAGAAGAAATACACAAGAAAATCCCCTTGTAGTGTACAGGGTGATGATGAACCAGGCCCATCATGAGAACAGGAGGAGGCAGAGCCAGTGACAGTCACCCAATCCTTGTCCTTGAGTGAGTTGTGAGATGTAAGAAAAGATTTCAGCTGCTAGCTAGATGAGCAACTCGTTACCTGGCTGCTGCGGTGCTGGGATAGCGAGGCCGGTGGCATGGAACGAGAGGGCAGGGAGGTGAAGCAACTGGGATCCCTGTCTAAGGAAGGGGGCATTGACAAAGCCGTTGGAAAGGACATACAAAATCTTAGTCTCTGGAAGCAACTTCTGTCAAGTATGAGGGAGAGGAATCCCTTCGAGGATGACTTGACATGTCAACTGAGTATATTAAGTGGAGCACTACGGAAAGAGGCATTCAATGCTTGAGGGAGCTAGCTGTGCAGGAGGTAGTTTACTATGACCCAGATAATGCGCAGCTACCCACAGATCCAGATGAAGTCCGATGCACCCAGCTCATGTGGAGGACTTTTGTACGGAGCACACCCTCATCATATGCCAATGCATTAGCAGTAATGGACTGGAAGATGAAGAGAGACCAACAGTGAATGAATTGGTTCGCCGACTACGACAATATGAAGAAACCGCATCTTCCCCCATCATCGCGGCTGTGAAACAGTTATCTCAAGATGTACAGTAACTTAGGGAGAACATGTCCTACTCCCCACCTTCATGGACCAGAATCTTGTCTATTAGGAGAAATCATTTCTCTACTCGAGAGAACCAGTACACATCACAGGGGAAGCTGTGGCATTGCCTGCATGACCAGGGAGAAGACATGAACAAATGGGATGGAAAACCTACCTACCTCCTAGAAGAGTGAGAATGTGAGCTGGAAGAACAAGTACAGAACATCATCCTTTCAGGAGAAATGCTGCTCCAGTTTCCAGTAATCAAGCTGAGGCTGAAACACGTGCGCGCCACACTAACCCATTTGTCGTTAGCAAGTGTTATGACCAACATTAGAGGGGCCCTGCCTCCAGCAAGGCAGAAGACAAGGACAACTGAGTTTACTGGACTGTGTGGATTCGATGGTCTGGCACATCTGACCCCCAGCAGTATAAGGCTCTAGTGGACACTGGTGCTCAATGCACCCTAATGCCATCAAATTCTAAAGGAGCAGAACCCGTTTGTATTTCAGGAGTGACAGAGGGCTCTCAACAGCTGACTGTATTGGAGGCTGAGGTGAGCCTAAGTGGAGAAGAGTGGGAAAAACACCCCATTGTGACTGGCCCAGACGCTCCATGCATTCTTGGCATAGATTATCTCAGAATAGGCTATTTTAAGGACCCAAAAGGGTATCGGTGGGCTTTAGGTATAGCTGCCTTGGAAACAGAAGGAATTAAACAGCTGTCTGTGTTACCTGGTTTATCAGGATCCTTCTGTTGTGCAATTGCTGAGGGTTGAAGAACAGCGGGTGCCAACTGCCACTATGACTGTGCACTGATGGGAATACCGCACCAATCGAGACACTAATCCCTATCTATAAACTGATCTGTCCGCTAGAGAGCCAAGTCATCAACAAGACACACTCCCCTTTTAACTGCCTCATATGGCCAGTTCAAACGTCTAATGGAGAGTGGAGATTGACAGCGGACTGTCGTGGCCTGAATGAAGTCATGCCACCGCTGAGTGCTGCCTTGCCAGACATGTTGGAACTGCAGTATGAACTAGAGTTGAAGGTGGTCAAGTGGTATGCCATGATTGCCATTGCCAATGCATTTTTCTCCATCCCTCTGGCAGCAGAATGCAGGCCACAGTTTGCTTTTACCTGGAGGGGTTCCAATACACCTGGAATCGACTGCCCCAGGGGTGGAAATGCAGCCCCACCATTTGCCATGGACTGACCCAGACTCCACTGGAAGAGGGTGAAGCCCCAGAACATTTACAGTACATTGATGACATCATTATATGGGGTAATACAGCAGAAGAAGTTTTTGAGAAAGGGGAGAAAATAATCAAAATCCTTCTGAGAGCTGGTTTTGCCATAAAGTGTAGTAAAGTCAAGGGACCTGCACAAGAGATCCAGTTTTTAGGAATAAAATGTCAAGATAGATGTTGTCAGATTCCAGTGGATGGGATTAATAAAATAACAGCTATGTCCTCACCAACTAACAGAAAGGAGACACAAGCTTTCTTGTGGGTTTCTGGAGATTGCACATTCCAAATTACAGTCAGAATGTCAGCCCTCTCTATCAAGTGATTTGGAAAAATAATGGTTTTGTATGGGGCATGAAGCAGCGGCAGGCTTTTGAACAAATTTAAGCAGGAAATATTTCACACAGTAGCTCTCGGGCCAGTTTGGACAGGGTGAGATGTAAAAAATGGTCTCTACACCGCAGCTGGGAAGAATGGCCCTACCTGGAGTCTCTGGCAGAGAGCATCTGGGGAGACTTGGGGTTGACCTCTGGGGTTTTGGAGTCGGGGATACAGAGGATCAGAAGACCACTATACTCCAACCGAAAAGGAGATACTGGCAGCATATGAAGGGGTTTGAGCTGCTTCAGAGGTGATTGGGACTGAAGCACAGCTCCTCCTGGCTCCCTGATTGCCAGTGCTGGGTTGGATGTTCAGAGGGAGTGTCCCCTCTACACACCATGCAACTGATGCCACGTGGAGTAAATGGGTCACATAAATCACACAACAGGCTTGAAGAGGGAGCCCCAGCTGTCCAGGAATACTGGAAGTGACTACAAATTGGCCAGAAGGCAAAGATTTTGGAGTGGTGCCAGAGGAAGAGGTAATGTGTGCTGAAGAGGCCCCACCATATAACAAACTACTGGATAACGAGAAGGGATATGCCCTGTTTACTGACGGGTCCTGTCGCATTGTGGTGAAACATCCAAGGTGGAAAGCAGCTGTATGGAGCCCCACTTGATGGGTTTCTGAAGTTGCTAAAGGAGAAGGTGAATGGAGTCAGTTCGCAGAGGTGAAAGCCATCCAGCCGTCCTTGGATATCGCTGAGCGAGAAAAGTAGCCGGTGCTCTGCCTCTCTACTGACTCATGGATGGTGGCAAATGCGCTGTGGGGGTGGTTACAGCAGTGGAAACGGAGCAACTGGCAGCGCAGAGGCAAACCTGTCTGGGCTGCTGAATTATGGCAAGATATTGATGCTCGAGTAGAGACTCTGGTTGTGAAAGTACACCATGTAGACACTCCTGTACCCAAGAGCTGGGCCACGGAAGGACATTAAAACAACCAACAGGTAGATCAAGCTGCTAAGATTGAAGTGGCTCAAATAGATCTGGACTGGCAACATAAGGGTAAACAATTTCTGGCTTGCTGGGCCCATGACTCCTCAAGCCACCAGAGAAGAGATGCAACATATTGATGGGCTTGTGACTGAGGGGTGGACTTAACCATGGATGTTATTGCACAGGGAATCCATGAATGTGAGACATGTGCTACGATCAAGCAAGCCCAATGGTTAAAACCCTTTTGGTATCGAGGACTATGGTCAAAGTATAAATATGGGGAGGCCTGGCAGATTGATTATATCACACTTCCACAAACTCTGCAAGGCAAACACTATGTACTTAGAGTGTGGAAGCAGCCACTGATTGGCTGGAAACTCATGCCGTGTCCCATGCCACTGCCCAGAACACCATTTTAGGCCTTGAGGAGAAAGTCTTATGGTGGCATGGCATACCAGAAGGAATTGAGTAAGATAATGGGACACATTTCTTCAAAAATCTCATAGATGCTGGGGCCAAAGAACATGGCATTGAGTGGATATATCACATTCCCTACGATGCACCAGCCTCTGGGAAAATTGAGTGATACAATGGGTTGCTGAAAACTACACTGAGAGCAATGGGTGGTGGAACGTTCAAACACTGGGACATACATTTAGGAAAAGCCACCTGGTTAGTCAGTACCAGAGGATCTGCCAAGCAAGCGGGCCCTGCTCAGTCAAACCTCCTACATACTGTGGATTTGATTTTAGGTGAGAATAGCCAGTGAACGGGACTATGAAACAACCCTGTTATTGCATTTAGTGCCTTGCAACATCCCCGTGCCACATCCAAAGCCTCTTGCTCCACCAACTGAGCCAACTCCGCCTCATTCCTCAGCCTTAAAGACAGTCATAACAGATGGAACCTGAAGTTATGGAACTCCGCAAACATTGTGGAAGGATGGACCATAGACTAAGGGAATGATATCTGTGAGACCTGGGGCGGGTAGGGGGGAAAAAAAAAAAAAGGAAAAAAAAAAAAAGGTGATTTGGTGATTCCTTAAGATGTATTTGGAAACCTGAGCATAATGTCAGTGGTATAGAATAAGGGGTGGAGACTGTCGTGGTTTTGACCAGGATGGAGTTAATTTTCATTGGAGTATTTCGTACCATGTGATGTCATGCCCAGGTGGGGGGTGTGGCTCTCCCTCGGGCTCGCTCTGCTCGAGGACACGCTGTCTGCTCGTCAGGCAGTATTGTTGCTGCATTCAGTAAGCCACTGTTGCATTTTAAACATTTTCTTTTTGAACTCACTATTGTTACTGTTGTTCTCTTGTCATATTTAGTAAATTCTTTCTTTTTATTCAACCCATGGATTCTCTTCTTTTGTCCCTCCCCTATCTTACCAGAGAGGGGAGGGGAGGTGAATGGCCGGCCACATGGCATCTGGCTGCTGGCTGAGTTCAAACCTCCACAAAAATTTATCTAAAAAGAGAGCTTTGAATTAATCAACTAAGCAATTTTTTTTCCTTCATGAAAATGAACTACAAAAATCAGTTTTGAATCTATGTAAGTCAAGAATTAATATGTATTGCTTTGCCTTTAATAAAAAGCACAGTGGCTTTCTTTAAACTTACTTGGTGTGTTACCTGTTAATTTCAGAATCTGAACTTTTAGGATGGTACAGTCATTTGAGATGGAAGGTTTGTTTTTGTGGAGAGAAACTAATGATTTTGGAAATAACTTTGGCATGACTTCTTCATGAAAGAAACATTCATTTGTATTCTGTAGAAGTGTAAGAACTCATGCATGGGTAACCTATTTGTTGCCTTAACTCTAGGAGCTTCCAACTAAAGAGGAAGAGGATACCAAATCCACAGAGTCTGTGGGAAAGCCAAAATTGAAGAGGGGTAGAACTGCAAAATCAAAAATCAAGAAAGCAAGCAAGTATGAAATTTGTTTTGAACACTTATTTGCATTCCTTCATTGTGGTAGCCATGGAACTTCCTCCTCCTCACCTGGCTGTGCAGTTCTGTTCTGACTTTAGAGCCCGTCCACTCTGCTGCTGTACTAGGTCTTTCTCCCCTTAACATTTTACTTTTCTAATGGAAACAGAAGAGGGAGCAATAGAAAAGGGCAGGTGGACACTACTCTTTGCAGTGATGGCGTGCTCTTACACTTATTCTACCTTACGAAACCACGCTCTTATGGTCTTCAGTTCTCCATACAAGGCAGGAGGGAGTTGGACAATGAGTAAAGAGAACTTGTTTCTGGACATGTTTTCTGGTTCCTTGTGGAAAACTGAGGACATTTGCCTCTTAAAAGCTGGAGTGGGGGGGGGGGTTCTAAAAGCTCAAATGAACAGTGACTGAGAATGCTCGGGACGGTTTGGTAAGGAATGAAAGCAAAAGGAAACTTACTTAGTATCTTTTCTATCTTGATCCTATCTACAAAGAAGCCTATAAATAATTAATTGGCATTGATTTTGTAATTCCATGGGGTGGTTTTCCTCTACTAAATACTGTTAATGATAAAATCATCAATTGGACACTTCTCTCTCTTGTCAGAACCACAAGAAAAGAAGGTTCTTGGTCACCTCCACCAGTGGAAATAAAATTAATCTCTCCTTTCGGAAGTCCAGTGGATGGAACGAAAAGCAAACAGAAAGAAACCACAGATGCAGTAGAGAAGACTCTACGAAAGAACAAAAAAAGACTGTCTAGTTTTCCAAAGCCAGTTCTGCGCCGGAAGATTCTGTAACTGTTTTTTAAGCTTATAATGTACACCGCTGTTTGTAAAGTCATCAAAATTGTGTGGATTAGTAAAAATAAAAAAAAAACCACAAACCCACATCTAATTTGGAAGAGATAATTTATATAAATTATTGTAAAATTTCATAAACAAATGGTCTTCAATAAGTAACTCCATATGGAGTGTGATTTCCTCAGTCAATGCAGTTTTCTATTTTATATTAAGACTTCATACATTTATATAATATGTAAATACAGCTTATTTTAGGAATGTTAAATAAAAATGTATGCTTCACAAGACGCTTACTGTCTGATAACTTTTTGAGGGAATAGTGGGTTCAATGGCCTGTGTTGTTCAGAAACTTTAATGTTGGTTTGCAGAGTTGCTGACCCTCAAAAGTGAGGCCAAAAGCTTTTTTTAAGCTTTTTAAAAGTTTGTTTAGAATTCCTATAACAAGTAAACATTTAAAACATACTAGTTTAAATTTTATAAATTATGGTTGATCTTCTGGCACAGATAATTGGGCTCACAATGAAAACTGGTAATTCCTTACGCTCACGGTTAAGTTGTACTGTATTGAAGTCAGAATGTAAACAATTGTATTTTAAGCTGTGCAATATTTTTTTGTATTTGTCTTACATTTTTGGAAAGCTGCTCTTTAGTTCATAAAACTAGATCACATCTCAGATGTTTCACTATTTTTTACAATTTGTTGTCAGCAAAAAATTGTTTAGAGGGTGTGATGCTTACAACAGCATATCAAATTTAAAGGGATATTACCCACATAACTTTGGAATTTGAGCCAAAATTATTTTCATAAGGTTAATAGGAATGCTACTATAACTGAAAGAATTACTGTCTGTAAACATATTTTGCAATATTTGAAGCCTGCATATCACAGCACTGAAAGAAAACCTGATGGTAAAGCTAACATAATAGTCTGAAAAGGGTACCAAAATGTACAGAAATCTTAGTTACAAACCATATTTTTGAATAATTATGTCATTAATAATGGGTTATGGAGTAAATGTCCCTATAAAGCTTCAATTTATAAAAATAAATTCAAAAAACTATTCTTTTAAAGGCAGACATGGAAGTACTATTTTGATGTGCAGTCTTTTAGACAATGGATTATTTTTATGTATGTTAATTTATATATGGATGCAACTTTGAAGACTACAGAATTGTGGAATCTGACATTAAACTTTTCAATTAGTAAAAACTACTACAGTTACTCGAAGAAATAATTTATTGGTTAACTAATACCTTGTACATAGTAGATGAATGTATTAATAACAGACTAAGCTTGTAAACAAGAAGTTTCTTCTGGGGCTATGATTTTTCTATCTCAGAACAGATCATTCTAGAGAAGCAGTTGCATGCACTTTGATATTTTTCTCCTTGGGAGTATTCATGTCTGAATGAAACCTTAAATGCCAAATGTTGACAGTGTGAAAGTGGCGGTTTGAGTGAGACCTTTCAGTCAGGTTAGTAATTATTTACTCTGAATATTTGTACTTGAACTACAATATAAATATGGTCAAAGAGGAAAGGAGGGGGAGTTCTAGCAATATTTTTTTTAAATTCACATTGTACAGAAATGCAGTGAATAGCTCAGAAAATGGGGTAAAAGATCAAACTTTCAAAACTGGAACAGAAAACACGTCAGATCTGAACATAGGTTTTGCATAGTGTACAAGAGTATAAAATGCTCTGATTCCTGATCAAATAGAATTGTCTGATGAAATGCCAGTGAAGATTGCTTAATAGGGTTTTAACATGTTTCTGTCATTTTTATTTACAGTATATTTTTGTATGAAAATCAATTGGAACAAATTAAAACATACTACTAGCTAGTTTTATTAATTTGTAGTACTTTTTAGCCTCTATTTTATAACCAGCTCAGCTGAATTATCCTCATTTGGCAGTGCTTTGGAGGAAAAAAGAAAGCAATAGTAATAAAAAAATTGGCATGAGATTCAAAAACTTCCTAAAGGTTTGTAATGGTCTAGTAACTTTTTTTACTTTACAGGAGTTGTAATTCAATTATATGTTAAATTGTTTTCCTCCATTTTTTTCAGTTACTTAGATTCAGTGCACCATTCGTGGTTGCTGACCATATTCCCAAGGGGGCAGTTTGAAAAGAATGGCAGTGTAAGCATAACATGTAACAAGGAATGGGATTTCAGAAAGGTGAAGGATGTGGAAGTAAATGCAAGAAAACCCAAGCACTAGGAATTTTTCTTTAGACAGAAAAGGAAAAGCAGCTAGCTAACAGCATCAAGATGGCAACTTAAGGATGGGTTTATAGTGAAGTGGAGAAAATAGATTTTACTTGGGTGGGTTTTGTGTAGGCTTGCTACAAGTATGTGAAGGATACAGTGGAAAAGATCTAGTGGAGGGACAGTGCTTAACAGTGAGGATGAATTGGGAAGGGGACTGCCTTTTCAAAGACTAAAATGGCTTGGGGTTGAGTGGCTGAGCAGGCTCGGAGTCTCAGAGAACTGCAGGTGTTTGCACGTGTATCTGAGAGAAGGATAATATTATTCATGGTGCCAGAGGAGGGCAGGAGGGGCCTGTGAAAGAAATAGGGTGATGCATCATGGTGGTAGATTAATGCAGAAGACTGTAGGGGCATAGAGCAGCAACTGTGAGCAAGATGAGAATTTCCCAGGAGTTACACTGTACAGTTCATCGCTAAAGAGAGCAACTCTGAAGTTTCATTGCTTGAGGGGTGTGTGGTTTTCTCCTCCTAAAGAAAAGCTAAAATTTATCAAATATGTTTTGATGCACCTGCTTTGATGTGGCGTCAGATGGCTAAAAGCTGAAGCTTAAACTGTGCCTCTGTACCTTTGGGGCTGTAACTCCAGAGAACATTCCACTGGAAGGCTGACTGCGTTGGGATAGCAGTCTCGCCTCTCAGAAAAAATAAAAATAGGTGTAATGACAGATTTTATTGCCAGGAAACACCGAGTATGAGATGTTAGTGAAGGGAGAGTGAACAATAGTAAGCTTAAGGGCTGGTGTTAGGGGATTTGTCAAGGAAAGAAATGTTTTGTTAGAAATAGTTCCCTGAGTTACCTCAGGCAGTTGACACATTCGTAAGACTTTTTTTTTCTTCAAATGTTTAGAAGCCAAGGCTGATGAAAGTACTCATTCCAGGTTATAACATGAAGAGTAAAATCTTTCTTTTACTTTTGATAGCCACTTGGTGCTTAAAGCATTAACTAACTGATTCACACTGACCTAGTTAATTTGCCTTAACATTTGTACATGCCCAGTGTGCAAATACAGCCGCAGATAACTAATTTAATCCCCCATCAGAACTTCCTCTCATGGAAGACTACTCTCAGGGTTGTCAGCGCAATAAATTTCATTGGTTCCCATGTAACTAATCATAAATAGCTCAGTTTTGATTTCTGGTGGGGAAAAAAAACAAGCTGCAGGCAGAAGCAAATCCATAGTTTCTCATGAGCTGTTAGGCAATGCTTGTAACCTATCAGTCTAGGCCAGTCTGAAAATACTATGAAATAATAGACTTTCAAGAAGGTAGCATGTTTCTTACTTTGCTGGTACTTTTGTCTTCTGTGCAAAACTTGCAGGTTTCCATTCCAGGAATGCTTTTTTCACCAAAGTAGTCCAGATAATGAGTCTCTTTGATATGCTTGGAGATAAATGTACTGTGGTTCCTTTGGAATTAAAACTGTTCCTAAAATAAAATGCATTTTCCAACGCACTGTGCTGTGTGGATGACCAATATGTGAGGGAGAGGGAAAATCACAAGTTATGGTTTCTGGTACACCTGTCTGTTGAGGTCACTTCCTTCTTGGCTGTGTATCACCTGGCATGGTTCAAGAGCAGGCTTATCAATAGCAGTCAGTGGTGTGTCTTGAAGTTGGCTTAAATTCAGACTAAAACATGAATTATTAGTGAATGACTGCCTGCTTGCATTTTTGATACTACAACTGTAATGTCAGTATACAGAAGGATGCAGGAAAGTAATGTGTGATTTCTATGACTACCAACAGCACGAGCATCGGTGACCCTCAGAATCCAGGGCACAGGAAAACCTGTATGATTGATTGATCCAGCCTATTGGTCTCATAGTCGTTTCCTAAAGGGTGAGAAGAGTATGCTTGTCTCAGCAGGATCCAACAGTGACACAGTCCAGGTCTGATTTTATTCAAAGAACCAACTAAATGCAGTTTTAGCTAGTAACACAGTTGTAGACTGGTCAGATTGTTTATCTCCCATTATTAACATGTAAGTGTTCTGGAACTCAGCTGCAAATCTTGATTCCTAATTTAAGCTGTTAGTGGGGCACTCCTAACAGGAAGCAGTGCTTCTGTATGCACAAACCTCAGAAGCAGCACCCAAAACATCACTGTATAGTGAATGACATCCATCAGGCAGCCTCCAATTCAGCTATGAGACTCCAGAGCAACAGTTTGCATGTGATTTGTCTGATACTGGATATGGTGAATGTGGTGCAGCTGAGACAGAGAAATTTTTATGTCTCAGTAATTTTCAGAGCTCTTAAAAGCTCTACTGATACACCAAAAAAGCCTCTTCCAGAAGAAATACAGCTGCTTAAACCATTGCAATTGGTATAGCAACATAGCCAGGCTTTGACAAAAAAACCAACTATGCACCACACTGTGTTGAAATGTAAAAAAACCCAAAGGTGATCTTTGCACTTTCTCTTCTCACACTTTTTAGCACAGGTAAGAATGTCAGTCAACATACCTCAAGACACCAGTAGAGTCAGCTAACCTTTATTAGAACCCGGAAAAAAAAGGACAAAACTATTCCTTAAACTACTCTTTTTATTTCTCTAGGGACACTAAGGCTTGGAAAGTAAGAATGCCACCAAGTAACAGCACCCATCCCAAGCAGGCACAAGCCCTCACTGGTGGTTTCATCCCCTCAGGAACCCATGACCCAGGGCCTGCCTGCTTTCTGTAGTTGTGGGATCAGGCAAAGCGAGAAGACTGTGGTTAATTGTGAAGCGGATGCTATAGTGGTTACATTACAGAGTAACTTAGAACTCAGATGAAAGAGATCAAACAAAATCCTAGAACTAGTACCCACTAAGTCACTGCTTTAATATGCTTGTCAATTAGAACTTTTTATGGTCCTTTACAGCTTTGGCTCACTATAACAAATAGTACAGCTTTTAACTCAATTTTTCGTCTGTTTTTGCTGTAAACAATAGCACAGTGGGACTATTTTATGATTAAGTTTTTACAGCCAAAGGAGATTTATTAGAGTTAGACCCAGGAAAGGTGTTAGTTCACACAGTTATGTTTTGACTTCAGACTTCAGGCTTGCTAATGACAGAGAACTCAACACCACATTTGTTGAGGCGATCAATCAGTTTTGTTTTGGAGAAGGCAGCTCCTGGAGAATATACACCACCCCTGTTAATGAAAATTGAAAGAGAAAAACATAAGTGCTATAGTGACTGAGCGACACCTTTTTTTTGAAGTAAAAGGTGTGCTTCCCTGCCTAAGAAAGAAAAAGCCACTCTGTCCCACAGGAGACTGTATGAGGAATTTGGTAAAGCTGGTTATAGTCACAGCTTCATCTCTGCATCTGTTGTGGAAGCTCTCAAATAAGCAAATAAGAACCAAAATAAAATTTATTTTCAACGCAATTAACTAGCACTCTGCAAAGATACAAACAGCAGGTTCAAATGTCCGTGAGAGGAGAACTAAACTATCACCACACAACTTCCTAGGGTTTAATGACAACCCAAAATGCCCATTCACTCACCTAAAAAAGTGAGGGCTCTCAGCCTCGAGAAATTTCTTAAGGCAGTGTCCTGACCAATAGGAACCTCAAGGAGCTTCCTTGGACAGCATCCCGACCCAAAGGGACAGTCCTCAGTTGCAGCACACCACTCCAGGGGCACTAGCTCAAAATGGTTTTCCAGAGGACTCCATTTATAACCAGCCAAATCTGATCAGTGGTCACTATCAGCCCTCATTAGCTGAGGGCCCCAAGTACCATGAAGCCCTGAGAACAAGCGCACTGAAAAAGGAAATCAGTGGCCACTACCTTTCAGCAGCCAGAAGCCCCATTTTCACTGGACAGGCTCACCTGTCACAGCATCCAGCAAACTCAACAGGAACCATTCCATTAACTGAAGATACAGACACCGATGCAATAGATGCTGCAAAAGCATTACAAAAAACCTATGGCTACATCCTTTCAAACTGAAAGGCAGATGAAGAGTAAGTAGCTTTAATGCAGCTTGTGGTGAAGTATCTCCCTTGCACAGCCATATGGACAAACACCACAGAAACCCACAGGGTTATGAGATCTGTATTTTCAAAGAGAAGCATATACACAGAGCAGCTTTAAGGGAGATCACGCTGTTCTGCACAGGAAAGTACTTACTGTTTAGGCAGATAAGCTGAATCTTGCAGAAGAGTTACAGCAGCTTGAACCATTGCAATTGGTGTAGCAACATAGCCAGGCTCTGACAAAAGAAAAAAACCCAAACAACGTACGGTGTGTTGAAATGTAGAACATCATGTTGCTCTTACCTACAGCATGCTGAAAATAATTTCTTTGGCAATGAAACAGCCTTCCTCGTTTAAGAACAGCTTTGTTACCTGGTAATCATCCCAAGCAGCTGGCAAAGCTGTCAAGATCTAATCTGGACAAATACTGCTTCAAATACAGGCCTCTACCACACAACCACCATGAGCAATCACCTCACAGTGACAGAGGGCTCTCCATTACAGCAAAAGCTTTCCCCATCCTTAACTTCAATTCAGACTTTTGCTGCAAGACTGCTGCATTCGGCTACATCTCAAGCTCTTTAAAGAAGCTATGCTTCACTTACTCCTTTCTGAATATACATTCTTGCTGTCTCCAAACTTTACTCCAGGTGTCATTGCCCCTCAAAAGAATCACCTGAAGACAGGTATGTTACAGCTAGAACTGTTACCATGTCAGATTTGCTTAAGCTCACTCACAGCAGACTGGAAATACACAAGGGTAAATCTGGGCCACAAGAACTGAAAACTATCCTTAAAGCACTCTCCCTGTTACTGCTCTACTCTGCAAAACTAAAAATCAAAATGGGGAAAGTCATAAGGAAGAAGAATGACAAGGCAGCAAATGACTTGGCTATTTCAAAAAGGGGGTCACAACGGATGCTAGCATCCAAGGCAATGTTCTGTAAAGGCTGCTGACCTTACCCATGTTGCAAGTGCTCCTTGAGGATGAAAGGAATAGCAGTGGAATCATAAATCTATTTGAGAGTAGGGAATGTGAGGAAAAAGCAGTTACCAGCTACTAACATGCGTACCTGGTCCTTTCACTTCAGTGCAGATCTTTACATTTGGTTTGCCATTCTGGGGATCTTGCCCCTCACTGTAACCCTCGCCAAAAAAAGTTATCGTGAAAGAGGTTCCATCCATCTGTGGTGGGCAAGACAAGTGTGGTCACCAAAACAGTAACTCACTTCTACCAGGAAAGCAGAAGTAGTAAATCCAAATATCTGTTATGTCACATACTATGATCCCTCAAAACATGAGAGTAGTTATTATGACTTACTGCTTAAAAGGTACATTCTCATCTAAAGTTTTAATCAGTTTCACCTTGTTGGAACTGTTACTGTTTTAAAGTTCATCTATTCTCTTGGTGCTTTCAGTCCTTGGTTTTTGCTTCTAAGTCTCCCTCCGTCATCACCTTTGACAGATGGAGTGCTGTGAGCCATCCATGTAAATACATCAGACCCAGCAACACGGTCTGTTTTTCCCCTCATGCGAGTTTCACGCACTTTGATGTCTAATAGCAGAAGGCATGATTATTGAAATATTTAAGCTATCTGAACAGGCACACACAATGTGGATTTAGAAATTATTTCTCTGAGACTAAGCAGTTGACTCTAGATTACTACACAACAAACAAGGATTGCAATGGAAAAGTCAGCTACCTGTTTCTGGGTTGGTCCTTCCTTTGTGAAGCGTCCAGCAGAGAAAAATTCTGGGTACTATATAACAAGAGGGGGGAAAAAAAAAAAAAAAAAAAAAGACAACCAACAGTAAACTAGAAAAGAAAAAAAAGTTCTCCAAACACTTAATTATTTTGTGTTTTGAACACTTACTTTTGTCAGAAGTTTTCTTCCAAAGCTAAACTTCACAAGAAGAAGAAATAAAAAGCCAGCAAACATCAGCTTGATAGCAGAGCCAAGACTACCTATGTTCACATATGCACTATACTGCACCTGAGGCAGAAACATTTTTTCAGTGATAAAACTTACATTAAAATTTTTGCAAAGAATTTTTGTAAAAATAAATTCACCCCCAAATTAGGATGCAATTGTCTGATACAACAGATAGCTGTTTAAATAGGGCCTTAAACAATTGTCTTCGTTCTAAAAAACTCTCCGAATAATGCTTCACTTCATCATTCATTATGAGAAGACAATGTAACTACAGAATGGCGAGGGAGCAAGCATGGTAAACAAGAGTGGAAAACTTTAAAGGAAGATGTGCTTTGGTATCTGATTTCAGGCTTCTTTTCCAAGATCTTCCTTTCCTCCTCTTTGTACTCTAGCTTCAAAGAAACCGAGGCCTTACTTTAGAATTCTAGAATAGCAGTGGCAAGTCTTTCTGAATTAGTAGTTTCCCAGTATATTTTTAGAGCACTGTCACACCTTCATCTCTTAACTGATTCCTGCAATTCTTGCACAGCTGTTATATAGTTGGTGCTGGTCTCAGGAAACCATGGAAAATAAAAACTACACATCTTTTCCACCACCACTTCACACTGCCTTTACTCAGCACACCAGAGACCCAAGCGTCAAAGAAGCCTCCAGATACAAATGACCAGCACATTAATTCTTTATAAGAATGTTTACTACACTATACTGACCTGACTACAGTTACACAGACAGCAGCTATGATGCTTTTAGAAGCTCTGATTAAAAAAAAAAAAAAAAAAGCCTCTGCACAGGAACAGAACTTAATGTATGCATCATTCCTGAAAACCAGGAAGGCCTGTTTTTCAAATACTTCTTACAAATACATACCCAGAAATAAGACAGCCGGAGAGCCCTACAAGACTCTCATAATTATACTAGCAGCAATAGGCAAGCTCATCAGGCAGAGTATCAAGGAAAGAGGCCCATGCACCCAGAACCTGGACCACATCAGGTCAAGCAACTTCCAAAGGTGATCAACAGAACAAGCCTCCTTCTTTTACAGATCAAAAGCACATTGCAGTTTATTACTATTCACCTAATTACAGAAACCCTACTATGTAGATCTGTGCCAAGAACAGTGATGACCTAATGGAAAGATTCATTGAGAATGGTAATAAAGACATAGAATACTAATAACAGTAACTTACAGGTGTTTCCTGCAACTCTGTGTAAAAATAACGCTGAGACCGTTTCACAACGGAAACATCAGCTCCCATGAATGGAATGGAGTACTCTTTGAATTCCCGATTGTAAAACAGAAATCCCCTGCAAATGGAAAAAAAAAAATTATCACCTCAGAAATAAAAAGTTCAGATGCTCACAAACTGAAAGAAACTGATCAAAATGGCCCTACCAATACTGGCTTTTTCTCAGGCACTTTTATGACATTTTCTCTTTTCACTGAAGGCAAACCATTCCAAACTTATCCCTGGCTCAACCCAAAATTCCATGCACTATAGCAAGGATAAATTTGATAAGCATGATGAGAATGTTTGATTCTTTTTTCTGTTCTACTGATTGAAATCAAACCTAAAAGTTTGACATGTCACTACAAGTCTCTTGGAACAAGCTAACTTTGAGACCCAGTAAATGCTGGGACACATTATTTTTTCAGTAAAATAGAAACATATCAGTAAAGCTGAATTTATTTTCCATTCTACTAGATGAGCATCTGTGTGTTCATATTATACTGAAGACCTAAATGCACCTTTTTAGAATTTAATAGTACATTAAGAATCCATATGATAAGCACTGGAACCATTAGAAGACAGCATGTTTCACATCTTACACTTCTTGTACCTTTTTTTAAGTTTTGCACCAACTACTGGCACAGGGGCATAGCCTATCTTTTTTCGAAGCTTCCTCAGGTTGTCTTGATCCGCAAGGCCATAAACAGCTGACTTCCAGGTCCCATCATGTACACAACAACCCTGATGACATATCAAGAAACAGGAATTAATTCTGTATCTAAAGGTTTCATTATTATTTTAATAATGGCCTTAGAATTATTACATAGATTACACACTATTACAGTTCTTACATGTATGTATTACAATTACATGCATTATAGTATATTCAAAGGTGGTGGGTTGACCTTGGCCAAAAGCCCACCAAGTCACTCTGCCACTCCCCTTCTCAGTAGGGCACGGAGAAGAGAAAAAAAGATGGAAAAAAACCTCTTGTGGGTCAAGATAAAGGCAGTTTAATACAGAAAAAGCTAAGGCTGCAACACAGAAGCAAAGCAAAACAATTCTCTTTGCCTGCCAGCAAGCGATGATCCCAGGAGGCAGGGCTTCAGTATGCACAGCTGTTGCTCCAAAAGGCAAGTGTCATAATGAATGCCCACCACCCCTCCTCCTTTCTCTCAGCTTGCCATGCAACAGCACAGAACACCCCTTTGGTCAGTTCGGGTCAGCTGTCCTGGCTGCGTCCCCTCCCAGGGTCCTGCCCAGCCCCAGCCTCCAAGGTGAGGGGGGAACGCTGGAGAGACAGCCGTGATGCTGTGCCAGCGCGGCTCAGCAGCGGCCAAACCACTGGTGTGTTACCAACACCTTTCTAGCTGCCAACACAAAGCACAGTACTAGGAGAGCTGCGATGGGGAGAATTAACTCCATCTCAGACAGACCCAATACAATCTCCACCCCTTATTCCATACAATTTCGTCACATTCAGGTCCCACATCCTTTGAGACATACCCACATATCCATCTTCTAACCCTACCACTGTTTTTAATTCTCATTATCAAAATACCTTCTCACCAACACTTGTAACTCATACTACATACTTAAATCATCTTAATAGCCAACATACAGATTTATACATTCTCATTAACTACTGTCTCCTGTCCTTTAACAGATGGCTTCCTCCACTGCTCCAGATGTTTCCAAGAACAGACTATGACTTGGGCCCCATCTGTCAAGACGGGTGCTCAGACCAGGAAAAGCAGTGTGTCCCACTGCCGGGCACCAACATCAGCGTGCTTTGGGTCACCGTTGCACAGTTTTAATAATGACCTTAGAATTATCATATATATTACACATTATTACAATTATTACATATATGTATTATGATTACATGCACTGAAGTAGATTGAAACAACCCCCTCCCCAACAAAACAATCAAACAGCCAAACACCAGGAGTACTGGCAGCACACCATGTTCTGTTACAGTTTGTGTAGGAATCCTTCCCACATCTCTACACAAACTAAGTATTTCTTGAAATAGCTTAACAACACAACAAACTTTAGGCCGGCAGCCTATGCAAATGAACCTTACAAAAGGCTGTTTGCTCAGCATACTTTCAGGAGCTCCTAAAGAATAAAGTTCTCAGACTTCATGACCAAAGAACTGCCAGCTTGTTCCTTGGTCTCAATGAATGTAACAACAGTTATTCTAATGGGCTACGGTGGCATTATGACAAATATCTCTGAGTTTGCAAGGAGGGATAAACCAACTAACCTCAGGCCCAGATTTCACCTTCAGGAAACTTTCAACAGCAGTTAAGGTACCTTTAAGGGAGGAGAAAACATTACTTGGCATATACAGTCCTTCGTTCCCGAAGTCAGAGCACAGTCAGACTCAAGTAGCAAGCCACAGACATTATTAGTTGAAAAGGCAGAGTCACATCTCTATCTCAAAGGAAAATAAACTAAGATTAAATCCCACAGCTCTTTTTGTTAGCAAGTATCAAATTTCTTATGTGAAGTACTTCAATAAAGGTCACTAATATTATCTTTACTCATTAAATCTTTCATTTGTCTTATCTAGTTAATGAGAATGTAAATAACCATTTTTTTTTAAAAAAGGAAAAGAATATTAAGAGACCTATTTTGTTTTTCTGCAAGTTTCAAAATAAAGGATGATGTAGGCTATGAAAACCAAGATGGAATCACAGATTTTCGTAGACCTTAACTACAAAATAAAACCATAAAAAACCTGAAACATGCAGGATATCCTAAAACACTTAATTTTAGCATAGCTTGTGTTTTGCAAATACTTAGCTGTGATGAACAGCAAAACAAAATAACTCCTCCAAATTCTACTTTGTTTTGCTTTGCTCAGGTCCTTCTGAGATTGTAAAACTGTACTTGTACAGGCAAATTTCAGCAAAGCAAGCAGCTGGATAGACAGATGATAATACCATCAAGTCAGAATAGGAAGAGGTAAGAGATCAGGTACCAGATATCAAATTATAACCCTGTGAACAACCCCATACTCATTTCCATGCCTCTCCTCTCCCTCTAATCAGATCCAGACTGAGTTTTCTTGAACTGAAAGCTGATGATACGCTCCAGTATAAAGCAACCCCACGTCATAGCCGTTTTAACAGTCCATACAAGCAAAACATTTGGATACTCTTATTGGCCCTTCCAATTCAAAGTCAGACCTGATGAAGGAACTGTCCTCATCTGAGACTAGGATCAATCACTATTTGCATAGAATTAAATCTTCTTACATCTTTCCTCCAACATATTTATCCTTTTTCCATTATGTCTGGCTGCTCATGAAGAAGGTGGCATTGCATGGCACACTATCTACTTACACTCATACAACAGCTTCTCAGTGCTGGTGGGAGAAGAAAACTTGGGAAACCTGGTTACCCACTAATTTACCGCCTTCCTATCCCCACTTTCTCTTCCCTCCCAGACGCTCACTGTGCAAGAGGCAGCGTGCTAAGGCTTACCTAGGGATGAACAGCCCACCACTGAGAACAGAAGGCTCTGATCTCTCAGGGAACTACATGACCTTAAATCCCTCCTCTCCCTAATGACCAATTTCCTCTAATCTCATAGGAATGGGTTTTACTTTTAAATTTTTATCTACCAGATTCTGTTGAAACCGCTCAGCTGGTAAAGGCAGGCAAAAAGAAAGATGGAAAGAGTTGCTGTGTAAGCACTGCTGCTACAGCAAACCAGGTGAAAGCATCATCTGCATTTCTTTCTCAGCATAAGGTCACACTTAAATAAGTCACCTTTCAGCTTGTCTCTGGTGTACAGTACTCCCATATCGCCTGGTATAGTGTCAAAGCCACAGCTTCCGATGATGTATACTCCTTTTTCCGCAGCTTTTTCGTGGTATTTCAGGTACATTTCTTCCAGAAACTACAACACAGTCAAAACAAATACTTGAAGCAGAATTCCCTATTTAACCGCCATACCACAGCACCCTACATACTTCAACACACTCAGAAGCATCTTTCAGACAGATGTGTATTACTCCTGGTTTGTGGTATCAAAGCATCACAGCAGTGCAACAAAATGTGACATATACAAAATTCCTGTGTATAATCACAACCGAGGCTTGAAGTAGAAGTCAAAAATTTTAGACTTCCAGAGAGAATTTGAGAGGCTCTTGGCTAAAAGTAAGAAAACCATATAACTAATACACATTAACACTCTTTAAAATAATTTATGCCTCTTAAAATTGTAGATCAGGAGGTTGCAGAACTGTTTGTGTTCAAACAACTGGCAGAAGCATCGAATCTACTAAAGAAACACCCCTTCAACAGATCCTTGGTCACAGGTTGCATTTGTCTACTGTCACATACCTGGGGTTCTCCACTGATGTCAATGCAGTTGGCACCATTTTCAACACAAGCTGCTACCACAGGCTCTCCAAAGAATCTATACTGTAGAAAGACCACCACACGTAACAAAAATAAAACCCACACGCCACAACTCCCCCAGCGTGCTTTATCCAACACATTTATCTACCAGAAAAGCTAACGCTTGGTGGCTCCTAGTTTTGCTCAGTGAGGCAAAAGTGTAATAGTACTTGTATTTTTCCGCGGGGTGGGGAGAAGGATCACCGTAACAAACTTCATCGCTGATAAGAGAGCTGATACCGAACAGCATAACAAGCTTCCTCAGCGATACCGGGTTCCCGGCGGCCACCGCCGCCCTCTCCGGCCCGAGGAGCGCGGCGGTGGAGG